AAAGACTGACGCTGCCCAGAAAAGAAGGCGGTAGGGGCCTTATAGACATAGTGAATCTACATAATAAACAAATTACAACTCTAAGGCAATATTTCTTCAATAAAGCCGAATCCTCTCCAATCCATAAAGCAATAATAAATAGTGATCACAAATTAACACCTCTTAACCTGAAAAATAAAACGACACAAAATAACGAAAAAATTACTGAAGAAAAGACCAAAATTGCCGAGTGGACTGGAAAGTCTTTACATGGAAGGCATCGACAAGACTTATGCCAAACTAATGTCGACAAAGAGGCGTCGAACGCATGGCTAAGTCGAGGAGAACTCTTCCCAGAGACTGAAGGTTTCATCATGGCAATTCAAGATCAAGTAATAGAGACTAAAAACTACCAGAAATATATAACAAAAACCCTTACATCTGATATATGTCGTAAATGCAATAGCTGCCCGGAAACGATTCAACACATCACAGGAGCATGTAAAGCAATAGTGCAAACTGATTTTAAACATAGACATGACCAGGTAGCCAATATAATACACCAAAAACTCGCCTACCAAAACAATTTCATTACCTCCATTCATCCATATTATAAATATAAGCCTGAGAGTGTACTAGAAAATTCCACAGCTAAACTTTATTTTGATCGAGCCATCCTCACAGATAGAACAATCCACTACAATAGACCAGATATCACATTAATAAACAAAACAAACAAAACTGCTTATTTGATAGATATAGCTGTACCTAATACACACAACATACAAAATACAATAGCAGAGAAAATATCTAAATACACCGAACTTCAATACGAAATCACCCGACTTTGGAACTTACAAAAAGTGACAATAGTTCCAATAGTACTGTCCACGACAGGTGTAATACCAAAACAACTGCATCACGCGATAAATACTCTAAAGTTACCACCCAATATTTACCATCAATTACAGAAAGCCGTAATCCTAAATACATGCCGAATTGTCAGGAAGTTTCTGCAAATTGGACTAGACGTTCCTGGTACATCTACAGGTTAACATAATATTACAAACAGATTACCAGACAAATTACATTTATACAAAAAACATAGCACACAGTTATGCACTTGGCTTAGGCCCGTGTACACCTGTAAAACCGGTTTTAAGCCGAGATATCGTAAATTTAAATTAAAAATAATAATAAGATTTATTGCACATAAAAATATACAGTCATGGGCTTACAGAAATTTAAAAGTGAATTATATGTGTATAAAATGTAGCATTATGTCCAGCACATTAGTGTCTAAACTTGGCCTAGCCTGTATCTTAGACACTAATGCAGTTTCGCTATATTAAAATATATATTAATACCTAGTGTTAACACTAATAGATGCCTAGACAATGGCGGACCGGCATAAACATAGTGGGTAGGCCGTGCAAATTATTACAGCGCAAGCAACGGTCACCATACTACTCTGCAAATTTTATATTAATCGCGCGGTTGAGACGCCCTCTGTGTGACATTATACAACTACAAGACTGTCTTATTGTTACGCTGTAAATCTTATTATAATATATCTATTTGAAGTAAAACTAAAACTGATAAATATATTTAAGACTATAACTGCACCAACTGGAGTATTTATTAATGTTGTATCAAACAATTTGGTGACCCCGACTCTATCAAACACCTAGTTAATAATAGAGATACCTTAATTAGCGTACCGTGTCGCACTCGGGTCGTTGATCCGCCATTACCGAGGTGTCTATGTTTGAAACTGGTTGCACTCATTCATAACTCGTCCGGTTATGTAATTCCCAATTGTGAAACCTTGACCTTGAGGTGTGCTTTGTTTCCATCGGTTGCGTTCTGGAAAATATGGCGGCCTATTGTTGTTTGGATCGAACGAATTGAACACGTGTTTAGCTTATTGTTTTTTTTTAGTATTAGGTAAGAATAGAATAGAGCAGGGCGCCAGTGAGAGATGATAGGTAAGGATGAAATCAGGTTAGTTTTTTTTTTATGGGTAAAATGGAATGGTAACCCCGCCAGCGCTAACGGGATACACTGGCGGAGCACCAGTGAAGGGTGATTAATGAAAATGAAAACAGGCCAGTTAGCCCATCATGATGAATTCATCAGGAATTAACCATGATAGTTTCCAGTTGGAACCGCGAGGGGGTCGACCTGGTTGGGTATATTGCTAGCAACGGGATTCTCAGTCTCCATTACTAACAATCCCTTTCCTCCCAATCAGGTCAGTTAGCCTATTATCACGAATTCCACAAAAATTAACCACGGTGGTTTCCAGAGGGAATCTCGTGGAGAACGACCTAATTGCTAGCAATAGGAATGTAAGATCCCCATTACTAACAATTACTTTTACTCCTTCCATTTCAATCCTACAATGGTTCTTCAATAAACAGGATCGTGTTACCACATACATTGTTACAGAAATTGACATAGTCTGTCCAGTAGTAACTGTAGAATAACTTTTTATCTATTAGTTTAAATAAAGCAGTTATTTTTGAAGAAGATTTAACAACTAATGAATTAATTAAGATTTATGCATGGAGGGAGACCCACCTGGGGTTGTGTGCACGTCAAAATTGTCTGGTGCCCATAGCCCATAGCCACTAGGATACGAATGAAGATCTATAAAGACATGTCTGAGAGTACCTAGTGGGTCTTAAGGCGCCAGGCCAGGAGGCAGGAATATGATTTCATATATGCCAATGATTCACAGTCATCATCATTCTCATCATATCAGCCGTTAAATGTCCACTGATGAACATAGGCCTCTCTTTTCTGGGGATTTTGCGACCAGTTGTTATGCTTGGTAGGCGAATTGGCAACCGCACTTAGGTTTTATTGTTGTTTCAAAAAGGACGCTGCTGTCCATCTTTTGTTCACCAGTGGATAGTTAAAGGCGGATGTAATTAAAATAATGGTAGTTTACAGAAATCAAGTTCAAGTATTATGTAACTAAATTTTTGAAAATTTATGACTCTACCTTTCCCCCATGTAATGCACTGTAACATGCATAGAGAACTATACCTCCTCTTCCTTCCTTTAAATGTTACGTAACACCAAAGCGACTATTTTTATCTAAAAGTCACAACATTAATAAATACTAGCAAGGAAGACCTAAGCCGAGGCCGAGCCCTAAGCCGAGGCCGAGCCACTCTGGCGCCCTTAGGCGCACACCGCAGTCCATAAGTAAGAGTCGACACCTCTGTCGCTCCCCTCTCGCGGGCTTGGGGTGCCATCTGCACTCGCCCCTGCATACGCGTCCGGTGAAGCTGTAAAAGCTACCCACGGCCAACAGCAAACAAATTCAGGAAAAAAAAACTAGCAATAAAAACAAAATAAAAATTATATACGATACAGTCAAGGGGTTTCCTCGTGAAACAAACGAAAAAGGTTATGAATTTCCTCTCACTATCGTACCGCTTGCCATCGGCAGGGAGTCCGTCCTCAAGCCTTAGAACCAAAATGGTCACGCACAGTTTTAGTGATGAATTCTCCCGCTAACACTCAGGTTGTAGAATGATCTTCCTGCCGAGGCTTTCCTTAGAGACTACAGCATGGATTCATCGAAAATGGCGTATTGAGGTTCCTTAAGGGTCACTGGTGTTACAGGCGTCCATAGGCTACGGTAAGCCCGTTTACCATTAGACAAGCCGTATACTTATTTGCCACCATAGCTAGCATAAAAAAGCTTGGGAGATTTTAATTTCTTAGTTCTTTATTTAAATAAATAAATGATTGCTCTCAGCAATAAGACCGCCTTACTGTACTTATACAATTGTATCGTTGTTTGTAAATTGTCTTGTTTATTTCCTATATTGTATAATGCAAATAAAGTATACTCATTTATTCATTCATTCAATAAAACAATGTTACGTAACGCGTTGTTTCTCTCCTCCCTTCTACTGTAACGCTTATGATGCATTACAGTGGCGAAAGGGGGTGAGGGTTTACAAGACGTTTTACAAGAATTCTTCCCTCCCCCTAAACTGTGGTACGTAATTATTAAACGTCCAATTATTAAAATATCCAGAAATTTAATAATATTTAAGATTTCATTACAGAGCCGTCTATTATAATTTAATGAAACATCCAAATAACCTACATTTATTGCATGTCATCGTTACATAATTCTACAGCGTTTATACCATAGTATAACACCAACAAATTACCCCATATGCTGGGTTAAAAATAAAATTCGCAAGGTCTACGAGGGGTTGAAAGTTGGTGTAGATACGAAGTTACTATATTTACGCATTGTGGCCTGATACGCCAGCTGTCTTTGAAAGTACATTAATCAAGTTTACTCGAGTCTTTATATTTTTAAATCAAGAAAAAGTATTTCATAAGGCTGTGATATCTTTGTTTGTTTTTTTTTTATAGAATTTGGAATCTTATTAAATGCGAAAGTTTGTAACGATAGATGGATGTTTGTTACTCTTTCACGCAAAAACTATTAAATAGATTTGAACGAAATTTGGTACGCAGGTAGGTTTTTAATTTTTTTTTTTATGGATGATAATGAAATAACAACTCTGCTTGCGCTAACGGTATACGCTGGCGGGGCACCGGTAAGGGATGATAGGTGAGATAAAAAGGCAAGTTAGGTAGCCGATCATGATGAATTCATCAGGAATTCAGCATGTCGATTTCCAGGGGGACCTCATGGAGGTGGACCTGGCAGGGTATCTTGCTAGCAATTGGACTGATAGTCCGCTTTGCTAACAATCCTTCCCCACCATACAACCTTATTCAAGAATCCCATGCAGTAGTCGCAAAGGCAAAAACCTATTTTATAGTGTCCTTTTATCCTAAGATTCCACCGTTGAATTATGCGTTTATAATTTTTTTTTAATAAATCTTTGTTTTAAATTAAAGATAAATATACAAGATAACTTCCAGAAGTCAGCAGAGAGATCTCAGGCTATTTGTTGTGTTTAGCGTAAGTCATGGGAGCGTGTAACTAACAGATATCTTCCACTCTACATGCCCAGGCCCTGGCGAAAGCTACACCGACTACGTGGCTACGCGTTGGTACCGAGCGCCTGAACTGTTGGTGGGCGACACTATGTACAGCACACCTGTCGACGTTTGGGCCATAGGTAAATACATATTTAATGATATATATATATATATATATATATATATATATATATATATATATATATATATATATATATATATATATATATATATATATATATATATATATTATTAAAATGAAGCCTATATTACTCGCTGATAATCTTAGCTTTCTGCAGGTGAAAGAATTTTTAAAAGCGATTAAATCATTTTTGAGTTTATCCATTACAAATCAAATCGTTCCTCTTCATAATTTCAGAAAATATGCAAATATGAAGTCCTAAAATAACTAAATAAAATTATGGAAAACTAATAAGGTGTATTGTTATTCTACGACCACAATTTTATAACCTATAAACATATAAATTTTACTGCCTACCAATTGTGTTACTTAGAGAAATTAAGTAATATTTACATTATAAAGAAAAATATTATAACATTATTTTATGTATGCAATTTATAATTAATTTTCATTTATTATATTATTGTAATATTTTTCCTCTTTATATATTTAATTAACTTTATTGATCAATTAAAAATATGGTACAAAAGGCGGATTTAATGCTAGCAGCATTCTCTACCAGTCAACCTTTGGAATGAACAGTGAATCACGAATGCGGTACTTCATTATTAGAATGATTATGATGATAATAGATATGTTGCAGTCAAAACTCTTAATCAATCAAAAGTATTATTGACTAGCAAAATCAGTCAAAAGTAATTTTGACCGTATGCTTTAGTCAACAATACTTTTGCCTAAAATAACAGTTAAAAGTACCTAATCTAACCTAACCGCTTTGCAGTCAAAAGTACTAATAACTGTAATTCGCCGTTTGTGTCCCGGCATAAAAGGGGCCACTCCTTCCTTTCCTATGGGTGTCGTAAGAGGCGACTAAGGGAGGGCAAGGAATAGGCAGCAGCGTTCTAAAACATCTAAAAAAGCCTAACTGTAGTTGCCAATCCGCGTGCCAAGTGTGGCAACTACTGGCAAAACTCCCCAAGGGGGAGGCTTATGTTCATCAGTGGACAGTTTAAGGCTGATATGATGATGATTATATGTAATAGCAATAAGTAAATCAGACTACAGTAAAAAAAACTTTTGTCTCTATATTAAAATAAAAAATTAGACGAAAATTAGACACAGTAGACCCAAATCGTACCCGGAGGTATCAAGAATTTGTCTATGCTAACCAGCCACTTTTCCCCATCCCTATGCCCCCTATTTTAGCTACCGTTATTTATTCCTATTTCATAGCATAATATAATAATGCTATTGGTCTAAACAATAAAATTAATCACTAAAAACCATAGCAGCAATTAATATTTTTTACTCTTTTGCTATAGTAAACTAAACAGGCGCTTTTCGTCATATTCCTTACTTTCATAACTGTAGACATATAAGTTTTATATATTAACTGATACCAGCGACTTTGTCCGCGTGGTAGTTGTTATTCCTGTTTAGTATATATCGATATATGTACGCATTTATTATCTCAGGGAATATTGGATCAAAATTAACAAATGGCGTGTCGTTCTCACTTTCTTTCTCTTTGCCTTAGATTAAAATAACTTTAAGTACAAAGGTTGTGTACTAAACTGTATAAGTTGCTATAGTTTTTAACTATCCTGTGGGAACTCTTTAGTTTTCCATGATTAAAAGTATGTAAAATGTTGAGCAGGGATGTAAGTTATCAACATGTAAAATTTCATTTCAATCCGTTCTATACTTTCGGAGATTAGCCCGTACAAACAGACAAACAAACAGAGAAACAAAATGTTTAAAAAAATCTGGATGTGTTTTATTTCACTTTTAACATCCTCTTGACTCGGTTTTTAGCGTTTTTTTTCTGAATACAGTCATTTGACCTCTACACTTTTATTATATGTATAGATTCGACCTTACGACATATATACCCGCCATATTGATCGCATAATAATATATATTTAATTTGTAAATAAAACTCTAAACATAGCTTAGTAATAAAATAGTAATAAATGGAAATTATTACTGACATTACACCGAGAGATTGAGCTTTCACCTTGAATATAATATTTACTCAATCGATTTGATTTTGTACTATAGAATTTTACTTAATAGTACAGATAAAATGAGTAATGTCCAATAATGGAAAATAATTCTTTCTTTTTAATATAAAAATCGGTTTAAACATTTTGTCTACATGTTTACGTACCTAATACTAAAGATTGGGGGGAAAGGGATTGTTAGTAATGGCGACTGAGAATCCCATTGCTAGCAATATACCCCACCAGGTCGACCTCCTCGCGGCTCCCCCTAGAAACTATCATGGTTAATTCCTGATGAATTCATCATGATGGGCTAACTGGCCTGTTTTCATTCTCACCTATCACCCTTCACTGGTGCTCCGCCAGCGTATCCCGTTAGCGCAGGCGGGGTTACCATACCATTTTCACCCATCAAAAAAAAAATACTAAAGATTTGACCCGCCTTCATACAGGTAAATATTATTTTTGAAAATAACAAACAACCTATGTTATTCGCTGATAATGTAGCTTTTATATATTTTTTTTTAAATTAGTTGAATTGTTTTTGAGTTCATCCATTTTAAACAAATAATCACATCTTTATTTTTTTTTTATAATACAGTGAACGCTCTATATAAACAACTCATTTGAACTACTTTCAATAAAAAAAATACATACATACATACATACGAGTACATATCTGTCACGCCTGTCTCCCATTAGGGTAGGCAGAAACAATGGAACGCCAAATACTTCGATTCAAACAAACCTCTTTCGCTTCTTCCACATTCATCAGTCTTTTCATACACGCTCGCCGGTTATGGGTACTTTTAATTTGGCCCTTCTTCAGCACGTCGCCGCCCTAGACGGACGTATGTCGACCAAATAAAAAAAATCTTATTAGGAATATTTGCTTATAAGCGAAAAAGGAGTATAAAAATAGTTAGCTCCTGGAAAATATGTTTACTTATTTATTTTACTAATTAAGCTGAGTAGAATAAATAAAACATAAAGAATGTTGATTATAGAGAGGTTTTTTTTTTTTTTTTGATAGGTGAAAATGGTATGGTAACCCCGCCTGCGCTAATGGAATACGCTGGCGGAGCACCAGTGAAGGGTGATCAATGAGAATGAAAACAGGCCAGTTAGCCCATCATGATGAATTCATCAGGAATTAACCATAATAGTTTCCAGGGGGAGCCGCGAGGAGGTCGACCTGGTTGGGTATATTGCTAGCAATGGGATTCTCAGTCTCCATTACTAACAATCCCTTTTTCCCCCCGGGATTATAGAGAGGTTATTATTTAGAGCGTTCACTGTATTTAGTATTTTTTTTATACTACAAAGGTGGCCAACAAGCATACAGCCCGTCTGATGGTCAACAGTTATAGTAGCCTATGAACGCTTGCAACACAATACAAAACGTAACAAATAAAAAATGTGTATTAAATATTAGTATAAAAATAGTCTACAAAATGGAAATTTGTGCTTCTGGATAACTTACTGAGGGAATAACGAAGGTCTTAACTACGAGTGTATAAACATTTTTCCATGCAGGATGTGTATTCGCCGAGCTATTGTCAAGTGAAGCCCTCTGGCCTGGCAAGAGCGACCTGGACCAGTTGTACCTCATTAGGAAGACCCTGGGCGATCTCCTACCTAGACATATGACTATTTTCTCACAGAACACATTCTTTCAGGTAATACATTAATAATTAGTTATTTATTTATATGCTTTTGTACATTCACTTATGGATTTTTTATGGGTGAAAATGAAATGGCAGCCCCGCCTGCGCTAACGGTAGGTATACGCTAGTAGGGCACTAGTGAAGGGTGATCGATGAGAATGAAAACAGGCCAGTTAGCTGATCATGATAGATTCATCAGGAATTAACCATGATTGTTTCCACGTGGAGGTCGACCTGGTTGGATATATTGCTAGCAGTGGGATTCTTAGTCTCCATTACTAACAATTCCTTTCCCCCCTAGTATAGATATTAGGTTATAATAAAAATATACACAAGGGGACTTATTCCTTGAAGGGATTTCTACTAGTCAACCTTGAGAATCCGAAAGGAGAAAGTGTCTATAGGGTTTGTATCTCTTTTCATTTAATAGTTTCCTCTTGTCGGTGCAACTAATCATCATCAACTAATCATAAACATCTTCCTCCAGCCAGCTCTATCCCAGGCCATATCCTTGATCTCCCTATACGACATGACACCTAGTGTTTCTTTTATCTGTCCCATATAGTTATTCCTCGGTCTTTCTCTTCCTCTTTTGCCCTCTATTTTTCCTTCTACTATGCTCTTAAAAACAATCGTCATGTCGTATAAGGTAGCCCAGCATTTTGCCTTCTATTCTCTATTATTTTAATTAATGTTCTTTTCTCGTTCACTCTTTGTTTGTTTGGGTTTGTATATAAAGCATAAAAAAATATTAAATTAATAATAATTTATTTAATAATATAATTAATGTACCATTTAATTTTGCGTTAATATCGATTATAATAAAAGAAGTAATAGTGTTAAATTATCACACTCATATTTTACTCACTGGTAACTAATTAAAACGGATTTCTATTTTGTTTTTTATTACAATTTTTAAGAGAATTGAGGCAAAATGCTTTTGTGTGCGTAACTGGAAATGGCAAATAAGCAGACGGTCCATCACTCTTTCTAAGAGTTAAGATTTTTCGAATTCTGAAACACGAGTAGGACAAAAGTACCCTTCTACCCCTACACGACCTTTATATAAAACTGCCCTCTGGTTCTCTCTATTTGTCTGTTATTTCTGGTGTCTCTTATTGATGCTAAATACGGTATTCAGTTAGTTTTATATGAAGTAATAATTGCAGGGTATGGCGCTGCCAGAACCGACAACACTGGAACCACTGGAGAAGAAAATCCCGCAGCGATATGCACATAACGAATTGGTTGTAGATTTTTTAAAGGTAAGAGGTAGTTAGAAGTAAACTCACACATATACACATTGGGTGACGTGGTAAATGGTTAGAATATTATTAGTGGTAAAACTCTACTTTGGATTCTGCAAGTGATTCTGAATCCATTTTAAAAGGCCGGCAGCACGCCTGCAATGCCGTTGGTGTTGTGGGCGATCATGGACGGCGGTAGTCACTTACCATCTGGTGAGCCGCATGCTCGTTTGCCCCCTGTGTTGTAGAAAAAAAAAACATTTAGCCCGAAAGAATATGGGTCGAAACTTTACATTTTTATATATCTAACTCAGTGTTTTTCAAAGTGTATGTTGCGACCCCCTAGAGGGCCCCTAAATCTCTACGAGGGGGTCGCGGAAGTTCGTAAAGCCGTAAAATAGACAACGTTCAAAAAGATATTTTTATTAAGAAAATGTTCATTTTAGATAGGCTAACATATATAAATTAAGAAAATTTATGTTAACTTACCTAACTTATTTGACTTAGTTACCTTTTCCATGGATGTGTTTTGCAACGTAATCCATGTCTGTTTTTTATTGTTCATTTTATTATTTTTAATCGATAATTAACTATGGAAATAAACAAAAATGTACCGACTTGATATTTTTAAAATAGTAAAATACGTATAGGTTTGAAACGGCGAAGAGTAGGAGGTCATACTGTAAAAAATTTTGAAAACTACTGCTCTAACTTAATACTAAGTTGGTAGCTTGACACGCCATGTGATGATAACTTAAATTCTCCCCCAGAAATGCCTCGACAAAGACCCGATGATGCGGTGGACATGTGAGCAACTCCTGAGGCATCCTATCTTCGAAAATTTCCTCTTCACAGTCCCACACTCCGATCACGAGGAGTACGAGAAAGCGAGGAGAGCACAGGTACTTAGGTCTAGATACTTTTTTTTCTTTTTTTTTTGATGGGTGAAAATGGTATGGTAACCCCGCCTGCGCTAACGGGATACGCTGGCGGAGCACCAGTGAAGGGTGATAGATGAGAATGAAAACAGGCCAGTTAGCCCATCATGATGAATTCATCAGGAATTAACCATGATAGTTTCCAGGGAGAACCGCGAGGAGGTCGATCTGGTTGGGTATATTAATAGGCTTTTCAGTCTCCATTACTAACAACCCCTTTCCCCCCTAGATACTATAAATTACATAGAACCATATTAAATACATGACGACAAAAATATTGCATAATTGTTATACTAATAAATAGTTATATGTACCTATATTCATATAGTAATATAATATGTTTACCCGGTAGCGCCATCTACCACTCCCCTAGATGCTCCTAGAGGTTGCCGGTCGGTCTTCTTCTGATACCTTCTTCCACTCTTACTTTTTAGAGGAATAGGAGTTAGCGGCTTTATTACTAGCTATATATTTTATCAGATCGACCTGAAAACTTGCGAGAAACCATTGTGATTTATTAGTGGGGAATATGTCACGATTTTATGCTGTGTGCTCCCGAAATAGAATGGTACCGCCCATTCCTTTCCCGTGGAAGTCCTAAGAGATGACTAAGAGAAATTACTAGTCGAGGGATGGGCAGCAGTGTCCCTCTTAAAACATTATCAAAGCCTAACTGCGGTTGCCAATCCGCCTGCCAAGCGTGTCAGCTACTGGCAACCTCCCCTTTATTGGGGAGTCAATATTGGTCAGTTAACGCCTAATATGACGATACCGACGTAACGATTGGCCATCTTACTTGACTATATCCTCACCTCATCCCTCTTTGGTACCCCGCCAGCGTAGCGCAGTCGTCGTTACCATTTTCATTCATTAAAAAATCCTTACTTCCTTTTCAGCGCAAATTTACTCAGCGTCAAACGAGCACAGATAATGTCTCCTTACCGCCTCATTCCACTCCATCCATATCGACTACAGAGAACAAAAAATCGAAGAGCAAAAGGAAATGACCGTTATAATTGATGCATATGTATTACATAATTCTAGGTACCTACTCGTTAGTTAGTTGAATTTAATTCGTTCGACCCGCTTTGTAATCCTATTAACTTTATAAATGCGCAATTTTGTAAGAATAGATGGATGTTTGTTACTCTTTCACGCAAAAACTACCGAACGGATTTCAATGAAATTTACTACACTTGTAGGTCATATCCTAAATTAGCACTTAGGATATTTTATGTACTAATCCACGCGGGCGGAGACGCGGGATAGAGCTTTGTTGCGGTGTTTCACAGGTCACTAGATTGATCTGCCTGTCTTTTTAGTTAGGATTTATAAGCAGTCCATGATACTGCTCATGTCTATAGGCGACGGTTACCACTTTCCATCAGGTAGGCCGTCAGTTTGTTTGCCATTCTAAGTTATATAAAAAAAAAAGTATAGGCTTCACCACTATTACCGCCGCTGACCGCAGCGTGCAGTGATAAACAGCGCGCTGGTCGCGCAGTGCTGCTCGCGATACAGCCGTGAACCGCGCCCATGAATAAGGGCTCCTACTAGTCGGGTATTCCTGCATTAAAAAAATATTAGTAAAATCGATTATAAATAAATAATTAAAAATTTCGAATTGTTTGTTTTGATAGGTGAAGTTTTTTTGTAATGGATGATAATAGAGTGGTAACCTCGCCTGCGTTATCGGTATACGCTGGCGGGGCACCAGAGAATGAAAAAGCAGGTCAGTTACCCCATCGCGATGAATATTCTGGAACTTAATGACCTTAAACAATTTAACTCTGTCACTAATGTACAAAATAAAGTGCTGGACCTGTTACTGTGCAATGAGGAAATTGTGGAGGTCTCTGAGTGCTCAAATCCTGTAAGAAATATAGACAAATATCATATACCCACCAGGCTTAATTTCTATAAGGGCGACTATAATGCAATTAACTTATGTCTCAAGTCGATACCCTGGACTGAACACTTTGACTCCTGCAATGATGTTAATGAGATGTTGTCGAAATTTTATGATTTATTACAAGACACTATTAATTCTTACATCCCTATAACCACAACACGAAAAAATTCATACCCTGTGTGGTTTTCATCACACTTAATATATTTACTTAAACAAAAAAATAAATACCACAAAAGAATAAAAAAATATAATAATTTACTTGATAAAATAGAATATGATTATTTGAGAGGTGACTGTAATAAATTAATAAAAGAATGCTATAATAGATATATTAATGAAATGGAAAATGAGTTAAAAAATAATCCCAAAAAATTCTGGACGCATGTGAAGGGTTTGCGTAGAAATAGTTCATCGTATCCAAACACAATGACCTTGAATAATAATACTTCTTCTGATGCTGACAAAATTTCATGTATGTTTGCGAGTCACTTTTTTTCGGTGTATGAGGAGGAGGATAATTGTGGAAATAATTTCACTCCTGTGATGACTTCTCAAGTACTCGACATGATCGGTTACATTCATTTGACGCCAGAGGAAGTTAAAGGTAAACTTAAAAAACTAGACACAACAAAGGCTATAGGCCCAGATAAAATACACCCGCTATTTCTTGTAAAGTGCGCTGATACATTGGCTCTTCCATTGAGTATGATTTTCAATCAATCTCTCGGTTCGGGCATATTTCCTGATGAATGGAAGAAGGCTAATATAGTACCGATATTCAAGAGCGGTAATAGGGAGAACATATCTAATTATCGACCAATATCTCTGTTGTCATCGATGTCTAAGTTGTTTGAGTCAATGGTTCATTCAGTTATGTACTCTCATATAAAAAAGTACATAGTAGATATTCAGCACGGATTTATGGCAGGGAGATCAGTAAACACTAACCTTATACTTTTCACCTCAGAGTTAAAGGAAGCAGTCGATCGAAATGTTCAGGTGGATGTGGTTTACACAGATTTTGCAAAAGCCTTTGACAAGGTAAACCACTATATCTTAGTGAAAAAATTGCAAACATTTGGAATAGGAGATAATTTGCTGGAATGGTGTAAATCTTACCTTAGAAACCGTTCCTCGAGAGTAGTATTTGACGGTGTTCAATCATCCTCCATTGTGGCTTCCTCAGGTGTGCCTCAGGGCTCTATTTTAGGACCTCTATTCTTCAATGTCTTCATTAATGATATTATGCAAAATATTAAGCATAGTAATGGATACCTATTCGCTGATGACTTTAAAATGATGAAGATAATAACAAAACCATCAGATGTGGAATGTTTTCAGAAGGACATCGATTATTTAATCAAATGGTGTAATAATAACAAAATGTATTTAAATACTTCAAAATGTTACCACATAAAGTTTACACGGAAACTAAAGAAGTTGCAATCGCATTATTTTATCAAGGGTAAGCAGCTTCAAGAGGTTAGTGTTGTGCGAGATCTTGGGGTTTTGATGGACAGTCAACTAAGATTTTCGGAACATATTGATAAAATTGTAAATGAATCAAATAAATCATTGGGTTTTATCCTTAGGAATACAAGGTGTTTCAAGAAACCATCCACTGTCATTCAACTGTACAATAGCTATGTCAGAAGCAAGTTGGAATATTGCAGTATGGTGTGGTCACCTATGTACAAGATACATGAGGACAGAATAGAGAGAATACAGAGGACATTCGTTCGTAGCCTAGCTTATCGTTTTAAAATATCAAGAAATATGAAAACCTACAAAAACAAAATTAAACATTTTCACCTTGATGAACTATGCCTGCACAGATCTTACCTTGACATGTCTTATCTTCATAAGTTAGTGAATAATCACATTGATTGCCTGCCTCTACTGGGGAAACTAGATTACAATGTTCCTACTAGAGTGCCGCGGCATCCTTGTAATCTATTTAAAAATGCAGCTTGCCGAACAAACTTGGGTCGCGAATCACCTATCGTCCGCATAACGCGTCTGTATAACGATATTGTAAAAACCAAGCCTGAACTTGATATTCACTGCGATAGTCACTCTGTATTCATGACTAAATTAAAGTGTTGATATACCTCCCCATTACATTATATTTATTTATATTTTATAATAATTTGAATACAATTTCCATTATTTATATTATATTATTATTCATATTGTTAATATCTTTACTCATTTATTAATTTAATTATATTTTAATGTTTGTCAAACACAAGGCATGCTGTGGTTGCCTATAAATGTAAGAACGGTGAGATCTGAGCTGCCAGTGTATTGTATTAAAACTTAGCTTTATTGTAGCTGTATCTTATGTTGGTAATCCTGTAAATAAATAAATAAATAAATAAATTCAGCACGATGGTTTCCAGTAGGAACTACATGGAGTTAAACTTCAGGGTATATTGCTAGCAATGAGAATGGTAATCCCCTTTCCCCCCTCTTCGGTAGGTGAAGTTAATTTTTCGATGTTTCACAGGTGCAGTCGTCTCCCCTGCTGCCCCAGTTGATCGTAACGGACCGCAATCAGCCGGCCAAAGGCAAGAAGTCCGAGATGGACTCGCGGAGCCACCTGCCTACCATCTGACTACCACCACCCGCGCGACACCGAAACAATTTATTGTGATTAAATTATTCATATGCATTGAATTTGTTTCATTCAATAATCTACTCAAAATTTCCTGGGGGAAGAGGTTTGTTTGGAATCGGCTTTAGCGGCCATATTTTTTTTATGTATGATAATGGAATGGTAATCCCGCCTACGCTATCGGTATACACTGGCGGAGTACCCGTGAGGGATGATAGGTGAGCATGAAAGTAGGTTAGCCAGGTATTGCCCATCGTGACGGATGCAAAAATAATTAATCACAATGGTTTCCAGAGGGAGCCGCGAAGAGGTCGACCTGATAAGGCTTGCAAGCAATGGGGCCATTAGTCCATATTACTAACAATCCCTTTCCGGGGGGAAAGGGATTGTTAGTAATGGAGACTGAAAATCCCATTGCTAGCAATATACCCGACCAGATCGATCTCCTTGCGGTTCTCCCTGGAAACTATCATGGGTTATTCCTGATGAATTCATCATGATGGGCTAGTTGGCCTGTTTTCATTCTCATCTATCATCCTTCACTGGTGCTCCGCCAGCGTACCGTGGTTACCGCCACCGTTAGCGCAGGCGGGGATACCATTCCATTTTCACCCATAAAAAAAAAACAATCCCTTTCCCCCTTAGCGGTTTCATTGCTAGCAATGTACCTTGTCGGGCAAACTTCAACGCGGCTCTTTTTGGAAACCATCGCAGTCAATACCGAAGTCACCACGATAGGTCAAATGACGAGATGTCTTCTTAATCGCAGACAAGGTTACCATTCCAGTTCTACACCATGCAAACAACTCAAAATTTGTCATCAGATCTTACACTACAAGTATTTTTTATGCACCATTCTGTTGTGTGTAATTTATTTGTGATATCCGCTGGAATGATATTGGCTCTAAAATACAGTTTATAAAAAAAGAGATCATTAGTTTTGGAGACTGTAAAATTTAAACCGTAAAACCCTAATATATAAAAATACTATGTCATAATGTCATTCACACTTATCTTTGCAAATATTTATAATAAAATCATTTATTTAATATAATGTTACAGATGTGTATTGTTTGCTCCTATGTTATAGAATAGTTTATATCCTAACTAGCTTTTACTCGTGACTTAGTCTGTGTGACCAGGATATGTTTACATAAAAAGTAACCCATATTCTTCTTCATCCAATATAGTAAGTGTATAAAAAAATTCATTTGTTTAGTTAAGCCATTAGGACGCTGTAAGGCAACATACAAACAAACTCACTTTCACATTTATAATATTAGTAAGGAGAAGTGCTGTTATTATATATCCATGCAGGGGGGTACGGAATTAGTAATGGGCTATAACAACTCCATTTCTATCAATGTACCCTATCAGGTCAACCTCCACACAGTAGGGGGAAAGGGATTGTTAGCAATGGAGTTTGACAGCCCCATTGCTAGCAATATTCTTTGTTAGGTCGACCTCCACGTGGTTCCCCCTGGAAACCATCGTGAACAATTCTTGTTGAATTCGTTACGATGGGCTAATTGACCTAGTTCATCCTCACCTATCATCCTTCACTGGTGCCCCGCCGGTGTATAAAGATAGCGCAGGCGGGGTTACCATTCTATTATCATCCATTAAAAAAAATAAAAAACCTCCACACAGTTTCTCTTGGAAACCATCATGGTTATTTTTCATGGAATTCTAACTAGGCTAACTGACCTGCTTTCATCCTTACCAATCACCTCTCACTGGTACCCCGTCAATGTGTACCGATAGCGCATGCAGAAATACCATTACATTATCACTTATTAAAAAAAAACTACCCATGAAAGGAAAGTTGCTAATCTACACTATAGGTGTAAATGATAATTCCCATTGTGCATGTATAGAGATATCATATTAAAATTAACATAAGTTTTAAAAATAATATAATATTTTTATGGTACAATTGAGATTATTGCAAGTTGATGCTGACAATTCTTCTCTATATGTAAACTTCTTATGTTGGCTCCATAATTATTTTATCAAACTTTAAGTTTAAAAAAACTTTAAGTTTTTAAAAATTACGTATAGACGTCCCATAAAAAAAAAAAAAAAACTACACAAAATATCTTTAACAATATTTAATAAACAAATAAAGTATTAAACTATAAAGTTCTTAGATACAAATATTTACAGAAGTCATCCTATGTATGCAGTGTTTATTTTTATTTTGGATCTGATGCAAAATTGAAGCTTTTTATAAACTGAAACAAAACAAATAATCATGTTAGAATAAATATCTTCATACACTTAACTTTTTTCTTACATCAATACTTAACTATATACCATAATTATGAGTACATTTACACCTACAATACAAATATAACATTTCAAATACTGTTACAGAGGGGAAAGGGATTGTTAGTAATGGAGACTGAGAATCCCGTTGCTAGCAATATACCCAACCAGGTCGACCTTCTCGTGGTTCCCCCTGGAAACTATCATGGTTAATTACTGATGAATTTATCATGATGGGCTAACTGGCCTGTTTTCATTCTCATCTATCACCCTTCACTGGTGCTCCGCTAGCGTATCCCATTAGCACAGGCAGAGTTACCGTTACCATACCATTTTTACTCCATCAAAAAAAAATACTGTTACATATTTTCTTTCATCCCCAATAGTGTTTCAATTTATTATTAAAAAATCTAAATCATTTCCTAAATTACTTATAATTTACAATAGATACAAAGTTGGTTGCATAGATTCCAGGTTGATCCTTTTAAAAATGGGTATATGTATTCTCAGACGTATCTTAACTAAATTTCACTCCTGGTGTAAGGACCAGATAATGTTGGGGTAGGCACATTTCTCCCCACCCCTTCCCATCCTTAAATGCAGTTTGATATTACAGCCAAATTAGTATTTTAAGGACTACTATGAATACAATTTATAGTAAAATTGCAGGTGTTCATAAGCTACGGTAATCACTTAACACAAGGTGGGCTGTATGCTTGTTTGCCACCTTAGTGGTATAAAAAATGAACTATCATTCATTTATTTTTTGGTGACTTGTAACAATTGTAATTATAGTTTCGCTAAATTTTCTTAAATAAAGTCTGGAGTCAATTTTGAGATTGTATGCCTCGAAACTAATCTCCTAATTTAACATTTTAATTCGATAGTTTCAAAAATTACTATTTTATAGATAAGATAAATTTATTATACATTTGATTTAAATCTATTAGGAAATTTATTTAAAATTGATATTTTAATTTTAGAATCAGTTTTAGAGAAATGGCTTCTCAGAATCGATCTTAATAATATTTAAGATCAAATGAAATCGTAATAAACTACCTCTAAGGGTATCCACTGACCAAACTTCATAAATAGGGAATACCGGAATGGTGGTAATATATACGTAACGTACATCTTGGATATGATTTGATTAAATCTTGTTAAGTCCATTGTTTTTTATAATTACCTAACCGGTCCTAACCTACAAATCTATTACGTTTAATTTCAATTTCTCTAATATAAGGGCGAAAGCTGGATTAAAATTGAAATTAATAATGGTAATATAATTTGTACCTTTGTAATTGGTAGCTTATTTCGTTCTTCAGCTGATACCAGGCTATCAACTTCTTGTAATTTATACCATCCATAGTGAGTACCGATAATCATGGGCACCATTACCAGCGCAACAAGATTTTTTTTAATAAAATTTCCCAAACTCATATCTGTGTTGTACACTGGAATGATAAATATCTCATTTATCGTTATCGCTAAATTACTTTTGTTTTTGTAATTGTTTATTTTTGGTTCTGTTTTTTCCATCAATAGGGAAGAATGGTTTCTTTTATTTTTGACATAACCTAGCAAAATTTGAAATGTGATTAGTAAGAATGGACAAATGCGACATTTGGATACAATACAAATTTGTCGTATATTATGTACAAAACATATGTCAGTCATAAATGTCATAATGACAGTTAGTGTTCAGAAGTTGAATTCAACTTTCTACTATACTCACAGTTATGAATTCAATTAATTATTTCAGTGTTTTGTTACATAAGATTTACCTCAGATAAAAACAACGAGTAACATTTGTTATTTCTCTTATTTTACCATACACCGAATAAATATATTAAACTGACAAATTAAACCATTTTTTTTAATCTACATTTAGTCCGGTCCGAACTGGCCATAAGTCAAATGTCACGTAATCATTATAGTAACCCAACCAATCAATGAACAGAGTATTTAAAATTCACCAATGATAAGAAAGATTTTTGACGTTTGCTAGAAAACAAAACAAAATAATCTTTTAAGATATTTGCCAATGATGTTTGACATTTGGGTGGTTGTCATAAATAAAAAAGATAGAATTTCAGAACAGAAACTGACAGAAACATGGTGGCAGTTCAGTGAGAAGGTGATATTTTCGGCTAGTCTTTAAATTTTTCGAGGCTTATTTCGCAAGAGTGTTTGAAACAAATTGTAAGTGCGTTTGTTTCACAGAATGTTACGAAAATTTCATAGAGTGCGTTCTTAATAACATTAAATTCCAGGTAAACACCATACCAATAAGCTTCAACCAAATTAAGAATGACGTCTGAAGAATCCCAAATCTCGGAGGAATTGAAGGGATGTTACGAGAATCTTATTGTAATCGACATTGGCGCAAACCTGACGAACAAGAAATACGGCCGTGATCTCGATTCTGTAGTACAAAGGGCAAAAGATGCAGGTATGTAAGTTCAGGTGAAAAAATATTTGGCCTAAATAGCGCGCATTGTGCTAATGTAACGTATAATGTGGCAGTATTACAATGCCTACACTCACTATTTCCACCAACCGTATAATTAATTCATGTACCAAATGGTTGAAGTAAATTCACAACATCTGGTAGATATCTTTTCCTTGCCTTTTTATCTCATCCAGTCTTAGCTTTAAAATTAAAACTTTGGCCTCTTAATTATTAAATTAGGTATATATATATATATATATATATATATATATATATATATATATATATATATATAATTATTATTATTATTTAAGTACTTACTCAAACATATTATCACTCAATAGTAGATAAATTTATTTAAAGAAGGCAAATTTGTAATTAGTATTGTCATTAGAACTAATTATATTTGTTTGTCAATAATGATTATCATTAGTTTATTAACTGATAATGTATGTATGTGGATTTGTAGTGATAATTTAGTCTAGAAGATAGGGTAGTATTTGTATCTTATGTTCATGTGTAATGCAAAGGGTTTCTTTTTAATTTTTTTATGCCGCTTAGAATGGCAAATAAGCTGATGGCCCACCTAATGGAAAGTGGTAACCGTCATCCATAGACATGAACAGTACTATGAACATAACTGTTTCGCCCATGACACCCTTAACTCATTTCCATTTCTGTCAAACATACATTTTTGTAAATAAACTTAAAAAAATAAACACACATAACACTAATATATATAACACTACACACAGAAAAAAATCTCTACTTTTGCAAAAGTAGAGATTTTTCTGTGTTATGAGATACTTTTTTTCAGAGCTGATTTTGTTAATTCTTCTTTTTTATTTATATGGTATACTTGCTTATTGTTCTGACAGACAACTGACTAAAGTTTCCTTGGGCGGCTTTGGCAAGCGACTAGAAAGCATGATTACCAGAAGGAAGGCTTGATAGTCGCATACCAATTCTGCATACAAATTCAATTTTGGCTTTGACAATAACTCTATTAAATCTCTACTCTAATAAATAATATTCTCTTTTGCGCAAAAGATTAGGAATCCAGAGAGGTAATGCTGCCAGTATCTTGGGTATGCTGCCAGCCCTGGATATAAATGATCAACACATGGTGTGTTGGGAGATTATTTATTATTGTTTTTTATTTTAAAAATTGTATAAATTTATAACAGTATACTCTGTTATATTCATGGTACTGCTTATGTCTATAGACAACTGTTACCACTTTCCATCAGGTGAGTCACCAGCTTGTTTGCTTTTCGAAGTTGTATAAAAAACATTTATGTTAATGTCAACATAAACGTTTTGTATTATTTAGAAAGTAAGCTTATATACTCACATATGTATTCTACATAGTCATTATATTAATGAGGCATCATCTTTATTAAGGTGTCCAGAAAATAATGGTCACAGGCACATCAGTGAGAAACAGTAAAGAAGCCCTCCGACTGACTCGCCTCTATCCTGGCACCATATACTCCACAGCAGGTAACTACATGTTTGTTTATTTACACATTAATAATAAATAATCTACATATCATCATTGCATACTAAAAAGGAGATACACAACATATGTACATTGCTTTTAACGATACCGCCTTTGTATATGCACATTCTATATAAATACTCCTTGTATACATCACTTTTGTGCGCAGTAAATAGTTTATTATTATTATTATTACATGACAAAATTAAAATGGTGTAACATTAATTCAGATCTCCTTCTGAATGCTACCAATAAAAAGGAACCACTGGTCTAAATGAATTGGTAGTTCAATTTAAGCCAGTAAAATACGCCAAACCCCTTAAAATTAGTGGGGAAAGGGATTGTTAGTAATGGAGACTGAGAATCTCATTGCTAGCAATATATCCAACCAGGTCGACCTCCTGGCGGTTCTCCCTGGAAACTGTCATGATTTATTCCTGATGAATTCATCATGATGGGCTAACTGACCTGTTTTCATTCTCACCGATCACCTTTCACTGGTGTTCCACCAGCGTATCCTGTTAGCGCGGGCGGGGTTACCATGCCATTTTCACCCATAAAAAAAAACGCTTAAAATTAATAAGACATGACATTTTGAAGCTCCATGATGAAGGTGGCCGATCGTAAAACTAAAAACCTAATCTTTTTGTAATATGGATAAAACCATGTTACGTCAACCCCAAATAATAATTGGGATAAGGGTAGAAAGATGATTTTGAAATTTCCCAAGAGAACTTAATTTCTATTGATACTCTCAATTTAGTAAGGGTGCGTTTTTGTTATACCACTGAGGTGGCAAACAAGTATACGGTCCACCTGATGGTAAGTGGTTATCGTAGCCTATGAACACCTGCAATACCAGGGGTATTACGCGTGCGTTGCCGACCCTGAAGAAACCTCTTTACCCCCGTTTTGAAGAACCCCATGCTGTAGTCTCTTGGGAAAACCTTGGCAGGGAGGTCATTCCATAACCTGAGTGTTCGTTGGGTGACCCATCATTACAGTGGAGTGTACATTCAACAAACACACAGTTCATCTACGTACTTTAGATATAGAAACATTGATTCTGGCTTGAAATTAGAAAAAAAAAATGTTACACTGATTAAAAATATTAATTGAAGTAAATATTTATTTATTACCAGAGGGTGACTTTGTACAAAAGTCGATTGCTTGGGTACCTCTGTCCCATTCGTGTTTCAACCGAGAAACAGCTGTGTTTGTATGGTTGTGTTTCAGTTTGAAGGGTGGGATATGGCGTGAATTTACTGGGTACAGAGGAATAACACCCGAGTCCTCAGGAATGGCAATGCATGTGGGGTATCATGGGCGAAACTGTATGCTCTGTTATGTCCACGGTACTGCTCATGTCTATAGGCGACGGTTACCACTTTCCATCAGGTGGGCCGTCAGCTTGTATGCCATTCTAAGTTGTATAAAAAAAAAAAATTAATATGTTCAAAGGTGATGTTATCGCTTAAGTCTTATCTTAAACCGTCTGACATTAATGCATTTTTGTTTTAATTATAACATACAGACTTACTTTCACTTAACCTACTACTTAGTAATTGTAACCGGGAAATGAACATCTGGTTTCACTCTAATTAAAGTATATTAAAAAAAAAAGTTAACGTCGACACCATTATTCATGGTCCATAAACTAAATTTAGGTAACATCAAAAAGTGCTCATAATATACAAATATATATATATATATATATATATATATATATATATATATATATATATATATATATTTTTTTTTTGTATATTATGCGATAACTATCTTAATTCTGAACTGATTTTCAACCGAATTCAAAAAGAGGAAGTTTCTCATTTCGGTTTTATTTTTTTTTGTATGTTTTTTCTATACCACTGAGGTGGCAAACAAGCATACGGCCCACCTGATGGTAAGTGGTTACCGTAGCCTATGAACACTTGCAATACCAGAGGTATTACGCGTGCGTTGCCAACCCTGAAGAAACCTCTTTACCGCCCCCTTTTGAAGAACCCTGTTGTTACCTCATAAGTGCGTCATTTTAAAACTAATTAGGAAAGTTCCCTTTTTATGTATGATATCCTATGTATATAATTATATATATAATATCCTTTAGTCATAATTTTTGTGGAACCAACCTATAAGTTCATTTCATAGAAATTTTATCAAAATCGCTTCAGTAATTTAGTTTTTATATTAAAATAACTCACAATTGAAGTAGTTTTTTGTGGAACACTAAATGTATACGATCTAAACAGTCTATTATTAGAATTCAATATATAAAAAAATTGTCCCAGGTGTCCATCCACACGATGCAAAGTCAATGGTGGACGAGGATATGTGGATGGAGCTGCGGCAGACCGCGAGCGCGCCCGAATGCGTGGCGATAGGCGAGTGCGGACTCAACTACAGCAAGGACTTCTCCGAACCGCACGTACAGAGGGACACGTTCAAACGACAGGTCTGTGCTTGTAATTTTTATACTCTGTTAGCTGTAATCGAGCATAGGGCCCGCCGTATGAATGAATGAAAACACTTTATTGGGTCGCTCAAAGTAAGATATTGTTTTATGAAATATTAGTTTTTACCCGCGACTTTGACTGCGTGAACGGGATAAAAAGTAGACTATAACCTTCTCTATGCCATATAGTATGTGTATAAACCGTTAAGACGCTAACAGGTAACAAACGAGCTCACTTTTACATTTATAACTTTAATAACGATATAGAAATACGTAATTACAGAAAAATACAGAATTACAGAAAGAAAGGAAAAGAGGAAACGACTGGCTACCTTATTGATTGAGAAAAGTAATGTACACGTAAAAATAAATATCTTTATTTGAAAGTCACATATGTGTGGGTTACCCAAGTTACTCATATGTGTGGGTGCACCTGTAAATCAATTTAACCCCTACAGATCAAATTAATGATAATGCATGATTCCTTGCACTCGTTAGTAACACTCAGGGTTACGTCGTTTCGACTTTTTTTTTATTGGTTTCTTACAAATGTTAACCAAAGGACGCGAGATTGCGTTCTAAATTCAAAAATTTAAATCGTGTCGTGTCTAAGAAATATTTGTGCTTAAATGCGTAGGTGAAGCGAATTAAAAAATAAATTGGTCTAAAAAAGAAAAAAAAAAGTTTTGTTTTAAAACTAAATTAATGAAACGTTGTTGATAAAATTTTTATGGCACCGGCTTACAGATGTAAGCATAATTTTAAGATAAAAAGAAAAATTCCAAATAAGTATAGAAAACAAAAAAATACAACGGAATTGAGGAGCTTTTTGAATTCGGTTGAAAAGTAATAAAATTCAATAGCACTATACATTATCTACTTACTATTTCACCAGAGGGAGACTTTGTACAAAAGTCGATTGCTAGGGCACCTCTGTCCCATTCGTGTTTCTACCGTGAAGCAGTTGTGTTTGCATGGCTGTGTTTCGGTTTGAAGGGTGGGATATGACTGTGAATTTACGGAGTACAGAGGAATAACACCTGAGTCCTCAGGAATGGCAACGCATGGGAAGTATCATGGGCGGAACAGTATACTCTGTTATGTCCATGGTACTGCTCATGTCTATAGGCGACGGTTACCACTTTTCATCAGGTGGACCGTCAGCTTGGTAGCCATTCTAAGTTGTATAAAAAAAAAGTTTGTTCATTAAATATACCAATCTAAGATCATTGTATAGATAGATTGTCTCCATACCAATCATCGTCATCATCTCAGCCACTTACCTGTTCACTACCGAATATAGTCCCCCATAGACAAATGCTCAAAAAAAATGTTGACACGATTTTGACGCACGATGCTCTTTTTATATAGTCTATGAAGCCAAAAAAAGTGTAAATATTTGTAAGCAATATTATGTATATCATTATATGAATTGATCACGTATTTTTGATGGGTGAAAATGGTATGATAACCCCACCTGCGCTAACGGGATACGCTGGCGGAGCACCAGTGAAGGGTGATAGATGAGAATGAAAACAGGCCAGTTAGCCCATCATGATGAATTCATCAGGAATTAACCATGATAGTTTCCAGGGGGAGCCGCGAGGAGGTCGATTTGGTTGGGTATATTGCTAGCAATGGGATTCTCAGTCTCCATTATTAACAATCCCTTTCCCCCCAGTGACCACGTATTAGAATAAACTGTCCTTTACAATTCATTTAATGTACGCACCGTGCTCGTATCGTTTACATCGAATTATTCAATGATCAATGTCATAAAATGATATCCGACTGTATGGGTCAGCATACATACGGGAGTCCGGCTTCCTCGTCTTACAAAGATTACGTGGGCTTATATTGATTAAATAGATGGGCTGAGATATATTATTTATATTTAGATTATAACAGGCTAGCTTTTATGTGAGACTTCGTACGTGGACCGGAATATTTTTTTTTTATAACAGGAGGCAAACGAGAATGCGGTTCACCTGATGGTAAGTGACTACCGTCGCCCATGATCGCCCACAATACCTACGGCATTGCAGGTGTGCTGCAAAATATGTTCTCTGACCAGGATAAAAAGTAGCGTATGCCCATATAGTACGTATGTGTGTATATGTGTTTTTTTTATGGGTGATAATGAAATAATAACCAACCCGCGCTATCTGTATACACCGGCGGGGCACCAGTGAAGGATGATAGGTGAGGATGAAACAGGTCAGTTAGTCCATCCTGATGAATTCAACTAGAATTAGCCACGATGGTTTCCAGGGGGAACCCCGTGCAGGTCGATTTGACAGGGTATATTGCTAGTAATGGGGCTATTTGAACCCATTACTAACAATCCCTTTCCGCCCTGTGTATATGTGTTTATACAATGTACGCGGATCCCATGACTGCCTATTTTTATTTTTTAAAATAACATTCAAATCACATGAAAAGATTTGCTGGAAGAAATCTCTTATTAGAGATAAGCTCGCTTTTTTACATTATGTTTAAAATTAATTGTTCTTAACAATATGTTTGTGTAAAATAAATAAAAAAACAAAAAATAAAAAAAAAATAGTAAGGATTCTTTTATTTAGATTTCTTTATAAATAAAAAGTTACATTAATTTTGATTAATTTTATTTGGTATATCAATAACTTCAATCATAGAGTAATTATTACCCAATCTCTATGGAAATAAACCTTATCGTTTTAGTAAGAATTGTCGAAATAAGTTGGAGATATTTCGTCGTTTTCTCCTTTTTGAATTTTTTTTTAGATATATAGTGTTCGCCGAATCAATTATTCAAACTCAAATTTAGAATCTATTCCTTTTTTAAATAATTAAAAGTGTTGTGTGTATGTATGCCTGGAAGTCCATTGACGATTCTTTTTTTTTTATCGTTTAAAAATATTCTACTGCGCAGGAAGTAAATTAATTCTCAAGGCCGGCGGTCTCAAATATGCTATTACTTCCTTTGCTGCGTTAAATCCTTTACTCGAATACTAATTGAACGAGATGCGTCTATAAATAGAGTTTTTATGTATGTTCGCATGTTTAGTCTTATGTCCTGACAGTGTTGGCCTGCCGCCAGAGCATTCCAGATTACTGCGGGCTCACTCTCCAGTAGTGATGTCATTAGTCTATACGTGCATACATTAGTAATCAAGTTGGGCGAATTTGTATGGAGCATTCATTTCATTAGCCTCTTTTAGTAATTCATGTCCCTGAATCTTAGATTTTTCTTTGTCATATTCGGATATAATCGCCATCTTATTAGCTGATAACTGTCTACAGCTGAACATAGGCCTCCCCCTAATGGGGGGGGGGGGCGGGAGGGGTTGCTAATAGTTGCCAAGTTTGGCGGGTGGCTCGGCAGCCACGGTTAGGTTTTGGTGATGTTTTAAAAGGGACGCTGCTGCCCGTCCCTCAAGTATTAAGTTCTCTTAGTCGCCTCTTATGACACCCATGGGAATGGAAAGGGTGGCCCATTCTATGCCGGGACCACAACATCGAGTGTTTAATATTTAATATACATACACATCATTTTGTATCTATATTCAAATGAATTGAATTGGCACACCCAGAAAATACATTCAGAGGAGATTCACTTCGTACAAAAGTGGTTTGCTTGGCACCTCTGTCCCATTCGTGTTTCTACCGTTAAGCAGTCGTGTTTGCGTGGCTGTGTTTCGGTTTGAAGGGTGTGATATGGCAGTGAATTTACAAGGTACAGAGGAATATCACCTGAGTCCTCAGGAATGGCAACGCATGGGGGGGTATTACGGGCGAAATAGTATACTTTGTTATGTCCATGATACTTCTCATGTCTATAGGCGACGGTTACCACTTTCCATTAGGTGAGCCGTCAGCTTGTTTGTCATTCTAAGTTGCATAAAAAATACCCAGGAAAGAATTTTAAACAAGCAACCTTTCCTTTTCAGGTGGAAATGGCATGCGAACTAAGGAAACCTCTATTTGTGCACGAGAAAGAAGCCCAAGACGATCTTCTAAAAATACTGGACGAGTTTGGAAACCGGTTGCCTGCGGTTGTTATTCATTCATTCACAGGATCAGTGGAGCAAGGGCTCAAGTATATCGAGAAAGGCTTCTACCTCGGCATCACTGGGTACATATGCAAGGACAAGTCGGATGGAGGCATCAGAAGACTGTTGTCAGAGAGTATACTGCCTCTGGATAAACTGCTGGTAGAAACTGATTCGCCGTTTATGTATCCAAATATGAGAGCTTCGAAACTGCCATTGCATGTTAAGGACTCGTTAACGGAGAGGTGAGTTTACTAACATTTTTGTCTATTCTATTCTATTTCACCAGAGGGAGATTTTGTACGAAAGTCGTTTGCTTGGGTACCTCTGTCCCATTCGTGTTTCAACCGTAAAACAGTTGTGTTTGCATGGCTGTGTTTCGGTTTGAAGGGTGGGATACATCTGAGTCCTCAGGAATGGCAACGCATGGGTGGTGTCATGGGCGAAACAGTATACTCTGTTATGTCCATGGTACTGCTCATGTCTATAGGCGACGGTTACCACTTTCCATCAGGTGGGCCGTCGGCTTGTTAGCCATTCTAAGTTGTATAAAAAAAATTAAGACACGATTTAACGTGATTATTTAGGTAAACTATTATCATTTATCAGGGTTATCTCGATGTTTCAACTCTGTAAATATATTTTTTATTTCAAGTCAATTCTATGTCAAGTAGTATATTACAGATCTATCGGTAACCCAAATATATATAAATATATATGATACTGTGATTAGATAAATGGCTAGTAACAGACATGAAGTGCATTTTGTAATATTTAATATTATATCTATATATTATGTAATATAGGGCTATCTAAGTAAGATAAAGTTTTTAACCTATATTATATATATTTTTTTGCTACTAATGGCAATTGGCCAGCCAGCAAATGTATGCTTTTCTATATGTATTTAAATTGAATATATATATATATATATATATATATATATATATATATATATATATATATATATATATATATATATATATATATTCTTTATTGCACTTGTAAGTAACATATAAAATAATGTATTTATAAATGTTGTGAGCAAGGGTGGACTTATCTCTGACAGAGATCTCTTCCAGTCAACCCAGTACAGTAAGAAAGCATTTCGTTAGCGGCCAGCTGAAGTGCTACAACTATTAATACATAAACAAATATACAGATAACTAAAATATTAAAATATATAATAAAATATTACATAAATACATACACTATAATAAAATACCTACCTACTTATATAATAAATGTTAAAATAAATGAATACTACTTACATTAGAAATTTCGTTTAATGGTTTTAAGATTTGACAGTCCAATTAGAAAAATACAAAAAAAATATTACTCAAGGGAGAGAAAATGTGATTTCAACCTAGATTATACATACAATGAAATGTTATGGATAGGTTTTTTATGCAACTTAAAATGGCAACTAGTGGGTCAACTTAGACTGATTTCAGGGTCAGCTAAGCCGATGCACGTCGACCCATACGGATCTTTTGTGCTTCCCCCTGCCTTATACCATCATTTTATGGATCCTATGTGTTACCGTAACGATATCCCGCGGTCTAAGATATCTGTAGTCCCCTGGTTTTGGATAAGCCGTTCCCAGTAGACTTATACGCATACTTGCCAACGAATCGCAGTTGCACATCAAGTGTTCCATGGATTCCGATTTCTCCCCGCACAGTCTGCACAGTGTGTCCGAAGGTAAACCCATCTTGTGTAGTATATGCCTTATTGGCATATGTCCAGTTAGGGCACTCATAATGAGTCTTGCCTGTTGTCTACCACCGCTGTAGATGAGTTTATCCCATCCCTCAACATTGTCATTTAAGAACTTTTTAGAATGTCTAAGACCCTTCAAAGTCCTCCATTCTTTTTGCTGTTTTTTCCTCACATACTCTTCAAGGGCAGAGTTAACAACACTTGATGCAAGTGCAACGTATGGTTCAGGACCTATCATTTTTGATTCTGATCCCTTTCTTGTCAACTCATCGGCTTTTGGTCGACAACTGGTCATCTTCACCTATCATCTCTCACTGGTGTCCCGTCAGTATATACCGATAGCGCAGGCGGGGTTACCATTCCATTTTCATCCACAACAAACAACCCATCCTCATGCAAATATTAGAAGCAGTAATTTTATAGAGTCATACGATATGAACGGTTCCAGGTCGATGAACTTCGTGAACCGCTACTGCACGTTCCAACGCAACGAGCCGTGCGCCCTGCCCGCCATCGTGGAGCTGATCGCCGGCTTCCTGGGCCGCAGCCCCGAGGATGTCGCGCTCGCCACCGCCTTCAACGCGCTCAAGATCTTCGGATTGAGTCAGTAAGCCAAATAGTCACGCCGCCACTATGAAACTGGACTAGGCTGGTCAATTAATAACTTTTCACACGTTCCGGTCTTAATTAGAGGACCGGTAAGGCTGTTTGACATGTAACCACTTACCATCAGGGTGGGACGTATGCTTGTTTGTCACCTCAGTGGTATAAAAAAATCAGCGCGTGCCTACGATACTGTATAAAATAATACTACCCTGCCTCTTTCTGAGGTCATCTCTTCTCCGGGATTTAAATGATTTCGCCCAAGGAATGTACCTTGTTAGGTACAAACGCACACATTTGCACGTATACAGTTGTCGTTTTTTTATAAGTAGATTGTTTTTGTATGGTATGTTTTTTGGGTGTGATATTGGCTTAATTCACTTGATAGATGGGCAGCTTAATATACCGCTAATTAACTGCTATTTATTATATACATTTTTGCCAAAATTCACACTGCAATTTGGGGCAATTTACATACGCTTTATTGTCCGCAAGCATTGTAGACATTTATACAGGATTATTGTTATCGGCCGTCTATAGAATAAACGTGTGTGCATCCCTTTGGTTTATGATGTAGGAACGTGTGAAAAGATAGTTAAAGATATAAAATATCACCTTGAAATGGTGGATCCCAGTCCAAGATGGATAGTGTTGGCTTTAATTTTTTTTATTCAACATGGAGCTTTATTTCCATGTTAATTAATATTCAAAGAATCGTAATTAAATTATTCAGCCTTATTTAGCTTGTGCCTTAAGGTAAACGATTACAATAAGATTAATAAACGATGGAATGTATATTTACAAGGTAATATAATAATGTATACGTCCAAAGGATTCTTCAAACGTCATCGAGAAACTTGATTAGTCTATTGTGTGACATATCGAAATTTGATATACTCAGTTGACATTGCATTTCGGAACGAACAATTACATGACTGAATTTATATGTTGTATGAAGAGCCGATGGCTAGTGTTGCCTGATGATAGTGGATTGACGCTACAAACAATCAATTTGTCGATGATTATTCGAGTTTCCGATATAATCGACTATAACTATGATCATATTGTATCGATTTTAGTTTGTAATTGTTTCATTTAAAAAAAAAAAAACTTATTATATTATCGATTTAATCGATAGATCAATTGAAATTTATTGTTATTATAAATTGTTAATTAGGCAACACTAGTTATGGATTGCGGTAAGAAATAAGGCCGCCATGTTTATATGATGTAGTGTTGGAAATGTTTTTTATTACGAGCATTTAGAGTGCAATATTATATGTAGTCATAACAACACTATCACGTAACCAGCAGCGCTGAAATAAAGAGGCTATAAAATTAAATCATAGATGTATTATCTACTAATGGGTAGACTAGCGTAATGTGAACATTTGTGCATTCTCGTTGATGATGATGATGATGACATCGGACCTTACTGTCCACTGCTGAATATAAGCATCACCCTCTGGGGTTTTTTTTTATACAACTTAGAATGGCAAACAAGCTGACGGCCCACCTGATGGAAAGTGGTAACCGTCGCCTATAGACATGAGCAGTACCATGGACATAACAGAGTATACTGTTTCGCCCACGATACCCCCTATGCGTTGCCATTCCTGAGGACTCAGGCGTTATTCCTCTGTACTCAGTAAATTCACGCCATATCCCACCCTTCAAACCGAAACACAGCCATGCAAACACAACTGCTTCACGGTTAAAACACGGTTTTACCAGTAGATGCCACACATGGCAGGCGGTTTGGCAACCGGAGTTGGACTTTGGTGATGTTTGAAGAGGGAAGCTGCTCTCTATTTCTCGACTATTAAGTTTCCTTAATCGTCTCTTATTGAACCCACAGCAATGAAAGAGGATTTTTTATTGCATTCTTTCATATTTGTATAGCATACGTGAGCATAAATTATAGGCAATTATCATTAATTTTAAAACTCAATTTATTATTGGAAATAATATTCCGTTATGTTTACAATTCATAGGTTCACAGAGGCCCTTAAACGTTTACGTAAATGGTCTCGCTTACTATCTCGCTCTGACATATATGTTATTATGTATTTTTTACCTTCTCTACCGCCAATTAGTAGATAATACATCTATGATAAAAACTAACACCACTTTAGTGTCTTGCCAACGAAATACGATAGTTATTAACGCCTCTCTAAATTATAGATTCGTCCAAAACTAGAACTAAGTTGTCAAGACATGGTTTCAGTCGGATATCTTGCCAGCCATGTTTTATGTATTGCCCGATTGTGTATCGTGTTGATTCGCGATACGGTTGATTTTGCAAAATCAATGACCGGTGTATTTTTACAGTACGAGCGTACCTGAACGCTGGGAATAGTTCGGAGTTTCTCAAACTTTATAAAAACTCACATTTGGGGTGGAGTAATGTTTTTTTTTTTATTATAATGGATGTGCATAATATAAGAGGCTTTATGGCTGCTATAAATAATGTAGAATTTGAGAAACTCCGCTTTTATAATGCCATTTGTGTGAAAATCACTTCGAAGCATAACTTTTTTATGGATGATTACATTACATATATTTTTTTTTTGTTTCTTTGACGTTTTACGTTAGTTTATTGTAGCTTTTATGTCACTCGTGGTTCGCACGCCTGCAACGCGATATGGTGGCAATAGTTCATAAGTTAGTCGGTTGATCTCTGAATTTGCCATTCTGACAAACAAACTTCATAATGCATCAATCACCAATAAAATGAGTGTCACTTTTTCCTTTTCCCCTTATTAATAAAAATTAAAACATATCTATTTTAATTATTGGTGTGTTTAAATTTTAAATTAAGAATGTTTCGTTAAGAAACAAGACATATCACTACAATAGCTAAATTGGAGTTAACAGCCATCATTTATATGTCTAGCTGTGCAATTGGCTTTTATATACTAATTTTTTTTTTTTTTATAAATAAGGGAACACGTTATTTGTGTTTGATGTATTATTTTTTTTTGTTTATTTGAAACTTGTTCGGAAATCATTTTATAGTTTCTGAACAAGATTTTGAAAATACAATTATTGAGCGTTATTACATATGAATGTTATGATTTTGTATTCGATTCATTAGTAAAACCAATAATTTTTAAAGTCCATACAAATTTAAGTTTCATTTATTAATTAAATGATAGAAGCAAGCAAAACTTGTTAATCACCTGGTGCCGTATGACGTCACGGTTCCAGTTGGTGAACGAGTTCAAACTGTAATCGACTTTATACTATACGTAATAAGGCTCAATATCGTATCGTTTCATGTCTACACTCATGTAGCCGGAACCATTTGCCACCATATTTTTTTTTCGCACGGTGTTAGGTGTCTGTTAGTTGTTCCGCTCTGCGCAGGGCATTCCTATTCGAGTTAATAATAAAATATAATGCCGTCGAATATATTGTAAATAACAATAATTATTAATGAGAATGTTCTATATAATATAATTATGTTGATGTAAAATGCTAGTAGTCACAACGAAATCAAAGACTGCGAGTATTAAAATGTAATTTGACATGTTATTACATTACTATTATTATTATTTTTTTTTTTTGTAATATTTTTTACGTATTTAATCGTTTAATGTATAGGAAGTCTTGTTAATGATTCCTTTATTTTTTGACAATCTCTTTGTTAATAGATTTAAGATGCCGGACCTGACGACGTGTACTAGAAAATGGTGTAAATTTCATATATAAGGTCTGGTGTAGGGAGTTAATTGTTTGTTTGTTTATAAGTGTACAAAATCGGTTGTCCAGATGTATATTTATCCGATTGTGTGCTAATACACTAGCGAGCAAAAAAATTACGACCTCTGTTTTGAAGTCGGTTGAAAATAGTTTTTTTTTTTTTTTTGATGGGTGACAATGGTATGGTTACCCCGTCTGCGCTAACGGGATACGCTGGCGGAGCACAAATGAAGGGTGATAGATGAGAATGAAAACAGGCCAGTTAGCTCATCATGATGAATTCAACAGGAATTAACCATGATAGTTTCCAGGGAGAACCGCGAGGAGGTCGACCTGGTTGGGTATATTGCTAGCAATGGGATTCTCAGTCTCCATTACTAACAATCCCTTTCCCCCCTGAAAATAGTATTGTATGGTAATTCTAGACATCTATTACTTTATATAATTGAATGATTAATTTAAATAATGTATTTAAATTGCCAGGAAATAGTTGGTTTGATTTTTTTGCTCGCCAGTATAACAGACTATTTCTTATGCCAGACCTTTTTTTTTTACTAGTCTTACAGTTGGACACAAGGAATGTGACTAAATTAGCTGTTGCACTACAGAGTTGAAAATAATGAATTTTTTGTATGTATTTTACATTGAACTAAAATTGCATTTGTATTTGTGTTATCAAAGTATAGCTTGAAAACTGTCAAGTCTCATTTACAATGTGTGATTCGGAACCCTAGTTTAACCGATTTCAACATAAATGGAAGTAGATTGCCAGTTATAAACATGTATTTGTACTTTATGTGCAGTATAGACTTCCGCATGTGTGAAGTCGCGAGGCGATTTTTTTTTTAAATTTAATTAACATGCAAAGACATTAAAAAAATATGGATTTTTAGTACCACTTAAACCTCTTGGGCTTGTATTTATTATATTATATATGTAATATCATAAAATTATTCTGTCCGACCGTCAACTGTACTTTTGTAAGTATATTTTGTATACTATTTTCTAGTACGTTTTGTTATAAATAAATAATTGTAATTAGAAAGGTCTAGCGCCGATATAACGTAGTGCCTTTCGACAAACGTCCTTGTGATACGATATTTTCTAGATTGTACAGATTTATTTCTTTCAATATACAAATAATAATAGCACTGTTGTTTTACTAAAAGTACCCGTGACCGGCGAGCGTGTATGAAAAGATTGATGAATGTGAAAGAAGCGAAAGAGGTTTGTTTGAATCGAAGCATTTGGCGTTTCATTGTTTCTGCCTACCCTAATGGGGGTCAGGCATGATAGATATGTATTCGTATGTATGTAGTTTTACTTTGGTGAACTCAACTGGTACGAAAAAATGAGTCTATCTAAGATTTCATTCGTGTTTCTACCGTGAAGTAGTTGTTTGCATGTTTGCACTAATTCAACGGTAGTCACGATAGATTCCAGGGGGAACCGCGTGGAGGTCGGCCCGGTAGGATATATTGATAGTAATAGAGACTAATCTCCCCAGTACTAACAATCCCTTCCCCCCGGTTTGAAGGGTGGGATATGGCAATGAATTTACAGGGTACGGAGGAATAACACCCGAGTTCTCAAGAGTGGCAATGCCTTATGTATTATATATATATATATATATATATATATATATATATATATATATATATTATATATATAAATTAGTATGTTTTTTTAATTATCATCCATCATAATAATTTCAGCCATTTCTAGACTATACAAAAGTCCTTTGTGGTGGTGTTTTAAGATGGACGCTGCTGCCTATTCCTCGAGTATTGAAATTCCTTAGTCACCTCTTACAACATTCACGGGAAAGGAAAGGAAATTTAATATTTACATTATTTCGATTATAAGTAGCAACAATAAGTTTTAATCTATTTACACATTTTATTAATTTAAACAGACATTAAACAAATGTAATGTATATACCTTAAAATTAATGAACAACATTCTTACACACTTTCGATTTTATTCAGTACTAATTGGATTTATCCGACTGCTAAAAAAAGAAGGAAAATTTGGAAATAAATATACATATGATAAACTTTTTTGATATTAACAGTTTTGGTACTTTGGCGTAACATATAATCTAAACTAACTTGATGGATTTATAAAATCCGAATGAGGCGTCGTCAGATTCTTATATTGATTGCTCCGAACCAAGTAACATACTTGGTTTATTAATATTTGACATATATAGTAAACAATCCTGGCATATATGGTCATTTTGAAATAAGACAAACTAAAATATAAAATCAAATATCATGTAAATTACAATTATTATTCCATTTGCTTATGCTTGTAAAAAGATCAAGATTATTTGCTAAATACGTCAAGTATAAAAAAAAAAAACAGTTTATATTCTATGGTATACTATTGAGGACACAAAACATTAAAAAAAAAAATGGAAATGATTCAAATTTAGAATTTAGCTGTCGTGGTTTAGCGATTGTTGCATCCACTTTTATATATTCTTGTGCAACAAAATTTAATATCCAATGGCCAGTACAATAAAAAAAAATTCATAACAATTGGAAGAATTTCTGTGGCCTTTATCTCCTATGTTATTCAAGAGATTCTTAATAGTATGTCATAATCATCCACTATTAAGCGAATATCCGAAATATACGATGATATACCAAGAAAAGGATTTTGAAAACTTGCACTTGTGAATAAAACTAGAGGGACATAAGACCTACAGTGAACTACCCAATTGATAGACATGAATAATTAAAAAAGTAAAACTGCAATTTCAACAAAATTGGTAAAGGAGTCATCTCAAAAATCAACTACACGAATTAAAGCCAAAAATTTCATAAAATTTCTATACTTCTAAGAAAAGGAATTCTGTGTTTAAATCGGTTAAAAATGATTTTATCATTTTGTCTTTTTAGGTTTCAATATTAAAACATAGACTGAGAATGATTGTAAGAAACGTGTCCAATGAAAAAAAAATCATTTTCACAGAACAGCGAAGGTAAACTTATTAATCACTGGCATCATTTGTAATCGAGTCCAAACAAAAACCTCTTCTGGACACTCTCACTCACGTCTCAATTCACAACAACATATGAGCACTTCGCAGTAGACACTATCAGTCTTTCGATTCGTTCAGTCCATAGTCTTGTCCAGTTTCCTGACGTGTGGCGGCGGCGGTGACGTGAGCACCTTCTTGGAGAGCCGCAGCTGGCCGGAGACGGGGTCCCGTCCGAAGTACTTCACCTGGATCTCTGAGCCCACATCGAGGCCGAGCGCAGACGGGTGCATTATCTGTGATGTATAATTTTATCATTACGACAAGGCTTTCTTTAGGGAGAAAGGATTGTTAAGAGTATCCGACCGAAGCAGAGGGCCTACCATGAAATGTTTTCCGAAATATCGGAGCCAAACGAAGCACAAATTTGATGTTAAAATTACATAATACATACCGTTTGGAAATATTAAAAATGTTAAAATATTGTTCCTTTGGACTTTTAGGATAGGATGTATGACGAACGAAATGTTAAACTCCATTTATTGGTCCGACTTTGGTATAAACAAAAACACGAAATTGTTTGTATTACGAATGCTCTCTTAACTGTATTACACGTTATTTTTATTTAGTTATCGCTGTAAGTATTCATTAGTGTTGTGACCTTTAGGCAATAGTCACTTGGGTGTTACATAATGTTCAGGAGTTGGGGGTTTAAAGAATGTTAATGCAATAAACCCTACCAGATCGACCTCTACATGGCATCCACTAGGAATCATTGCAGTTAATACCTAGTGAATTCGTTACGATGGATCAACTATTTTTCATACTCATATATCAATAACGGCTTAGTCAATTACAATGAAATTTTGTATACATGCACAATATGGGAAGAAGGGCATAGGCTACTTTTTATCGTGGTCAGTAAACAAATCCCAGCAAACGAAGTCATGGTTTTTTTTTATACAACTTAGAATGGCAAATAAGCTGATGGCCCACCTGATGGAAAGTGGTAACAGTCGCCTATAGACATGAGCAGTACCATGGACATAACCGAGTATACTGTTTTGCTCATGAGACTCCCTATGCGTTGCCATTCCTGAGGACTCAGGTGTTATTCCTCTGTACCCTGTAAATTCACGTCATATCCCACCCTTCAAACCGAAACACAGCCATGCAAATACAACTGCTTCACGGTTGAAACACGAATAGGACAGAGGTGCCCAAGCAATCGACTTTTGTACAAAATCTCCCTCTGGTAAAATGGTTAAAAGTTAGTAAAAAATAATAAAAATAATTACCTTCCTATGATCCAACTGTGAATTATGAACTAAAGCTGGCGACATGCCTGGATACAGCGTCACTAACACCCCGATATCTCTGACTTCGACCACTTTAGCTTTGTATATAGCACCAAATTCGAGTTCTGGCGTTCGTTCTGCGCTCAACCATTCGGCTATTCGAGCCCGCGCCTCATCCATCGCGGCTTGGGACGGGGCGAATATTGTGTATTTTGTTTCGTCTATTGGGGTCACCTGGAATGAAAGAGAGAAGAAAAATATTTTTATTCAAGTAAAGTCTAGCAGTTCCTTCAAAAAAAATATTAAAATCATTCTATCTTTCCAATTTTGTTTAAATATAAAAAATGATTAGAAAACTGTCATCATTGTGTTCTCTTTTATTTGATATTTATATGTTGTTTTTAACATATATATATATATATATATATATATATATATATATATATATATATATATATATGTATATATATATTCTTATTTATGTAGATTTATATTCATATGTATGTATTAATATTGTATCTTTAAATTCTGTCTTGCATTACTACTGCCCACTCACTATTTCCTAACTGCGTTAGGTTGACTGGAAGACATCTCTTTTAGAAATAAGTTCGCCTTTGCTAACATTGTTATTAAATTATTGTTGTTACTGTATGTTTTAGTGCAATAAAGAATATATATATATTCGTACCAGTTACCTTCCAAATTGAAACATAGCCATGCATACACGAATGCTTCAAGGTAGAAACACGAATGGGACAGAGGTGCCCAAGCAAACGACTTTTGTACGAAGTCTCCCTTTGTTTGCCTTCTTTGTGGTATAGAAAAAATAGAGTAAAGCAATAATGTGACTTACCTGCACTCCAGTCTCTACATACAGTCTTTTTAGATTGATACCACCGAGACCGACCAGCTTCGGCCTCTTGTGGACTTCCACCGTCAGCTCCTCTATCACAGGCATGTTCTCCTTGCGGGTTTGTCTGATGGAAAAAAAAATTTACATACAAAAACCCAAATAGTTGTAGATAAGTTAGATAAAAATAAGGTTTGTAGTGCGGAAGGGATTATTATGACTATATCACCAGAGGGAGACTTTGCAGGAGTGTTGTCGGCCTTTTAAAAAGGAATATGCTCTTTTTTGAAGATTACGACGTTGATTCAGTTCAGAAATATCGATTAAAGAAAAATGGTAATGTGAAAAAGACCAACGATCAAATGCTTACCTTGGTTTATCGATGCATTGATTCATAATATCGATGATCTTGCTTTTCGCGTCACAAGCTTTCTGGACTGCCTCCATGACAACTTTGAGGGGGAGACCTGGTATCTTGACGTCGGCCTGCAGCGCCGTGATACCCTTCTTCGTTCCCGCCACTTTGAAGTCCATATCACCCATGTAATCTTCTATACCCTGCGGAGACAAGAATATTATTTTAGAAGTGATCACTTCACTTAAATTTTTACTTGCGTGCATTTTTTACAGAATAGCATAACTGTAACTATGTAGCGCCGTGTGGTCCCGGCATAGAATGGACCATTACTTCCTTTCCCGTGGATGTCGTAAGAGGCGACTAAGGGAGCTTGATAGATGAGGGATGGGCTGCATTGTGCCTTTTAAAAAATCACTAAAGCCTAACTGCGATTGTTAACCCGCCTGCTGGGCGTGGCAACTACTGGCAAAACTCTCCAATCCCACAAATTTATGTTCAGCAGTGGACAGTTAATGATTGATATGAAATGATATGATAGCTGTAGTTAGATTGTGAGGTAACAATGTGCAGACTCACTAACAAATCAGTGAGTATCCTGTAGTCTGCGATCTGGGACCCGTCGTACCGCGACACAAGACCGATGGCGACACCCGCAGCCGGCGCCGACAATGCCACGCCCGCGTCCAGCAGCGCCAGCGACCCGCCGCACACTGAGGCCATCGAGCTCGACCCTATGTTTATATACAACCGAGTGTTCTAATTTCAAATTTAAATTAAGGCAAAGGACCTGCTTTATTTTAGGCTCGATATTTGTATAAAAATTGAGAAAAATACGATGATTATAGGAATAATAAAACTAGTTAATTTTAAATTTTCGCATTGTTTACACATTTTTAAATACTCAATCGGGATTTAATGCGATGAAAAAACTCTTACAGGTAAATAGTACCTACATACTTGCTTCTCTATTGCCGACGTTATATTAAAACTAATAGGTCAATAATTTATGTGCATAATAATTAATTTTAATACTAAAACGTTTCTATAAGTTTCAGAGAATTTTAACCCTCACGTAAATATCACTGCCTGAACAAAATAAAGTGGTAATGATGTTATACCAGGAATGACTTTGAACTGGTGCGGCACGACGGGCAGCAGGCGTCCAGTACAGTGTGTGTGTGCACACGCTCACACGCTCACACGCTCACACGCTCACCGTTGGACTCGAGCACCTCGGCGGTGAGGCGCAGCGTGTAGGGCTGGTGCGGCACGACGGGCAGCAGGCGTCCAGTACAGTGTGTGTGTGCACACGCTCACACGCTCACACGCTCACACGCTCACCGTTGGACTCGAGCACCTCGGCGGTGAGGCGCAGCGTGTAGGGCTGGTGCGGCACGACGGGCAGCAGGCGTCCAGTACAGTGTGTGTGTGCACACGCTCACACGCTCACCGTTGGACTCGAGCACCTCGGCGGTGAGGCGCAGCGTGTAGGGCTGGTGCGGCACGACGGGCAGCAGGCGTCCAGTACAGTGTGTGTGTGCACACGCTCACACGCTCACCGTTGGACTCGAGCACCTCGGCGGTGAGGCGCAGCGTGTAGGGCTGGTGCGGCACGACGGGCAGCAGGCGTCCAGTACAGTGTGTGTGTGCACACGCTCACACGCTCACCGTTGGACTCGAGCACCTCGGCGGTGAGGCGCAGCGTGTAGGGCTGGTGCGGCACGACGGGCAGCAGGCGTCCAGTACAGTGTGTGTGTGCACACGCTCACACGCTCACCGTTGGACTCGAGCACCTCGGCGGTGAGGCGCAGCGTGTAGGGCTGGTGCGGCACGACGGGCAGCAGGCGTCCAGTACAGTGTGTGTGTGCACACGCTCACACGCTCACCGTTGGACTCGAGCACCTCGGCGGTGAGGCGCAGCGTGTAGGGCTGGTGCGGCACGACGGGCAGCAGGCGTCCAGTACAGTGTGTGTGTGCACACGCTCACACGCTCACCGTTGGACTCGAGCACCTCGGCGGTGAGGCGCAGCGTGTAGGGCTGGTGCGGCACGACGGGCAGCAGGCGTCCAGTACAGTGTGTGTGTGCACACGCTCACACGCTCACCGTTGGACTCGAGCACCTCGGCGGTGAGGCGCAGCGTGTAGGGCTGGTGCGGCACGACGGGCAGCAGGCGTCCAGTACAGTGTGTGTGTGCACACGCTCACACGCTCACCGTTGGACTCGAGCACCTCGGCGGTGAGGCGCAGCGTGTAGGGCTGGTGCGGCACGACGGGCAGCAGGCGTCCAGTACAGTGTGTGTGTGCACACGCTCACACGCTCACCGTTGGACTCGAGCACCTCGGCGGTGAGGCGCAGCGTGTAGGGCTGGTGCGGCACGACGGGCAGCAGGCGTCCAGTACAGTGTGTGTGTGCACACGCTCACACGCTCACCGTTGGACTCGAGCACCTCGGCGGTGAGGCGCAGCGTGTAGGGCTGGTGCGGCACGACGGGCAGCAGGCGTCCAGTACAGTGTGTGTGTGCACACGCTCACACGCTCACCGTTGGACTCGAGCACCTCGGCGGTGAGGCGCAGCGTGTAGGGCTGGTGCGGCACGACGGGCAGCAGGCGTCCAGTACAGTGTGTGTGTGCACACGCTCACACGCTCACCGTTGGACTCGAGCACCTCGGCGGTGAGGCGCAGCGTGTAGGGCTGGTGCGGCACGACGGGCAGCAGGCGTCCAGTACAGTGTGTGTGTGCACACGCTCACACGCTCACACGCTCACACGCTCACCGTTGGACTCGAGCACCTCGGCGGTGAGGCGCAGCGTGTAGGGCTGGTGCGGCACGACGGGCAGCAGGCGTCCAGTACAGTGTGTGTGTGCACACGCTCACACGCTCACACGCTCACACGCTCACCGTTGGACTCGAGCACCTCGGCGGTGAGGCGCAGCGTGTAGGGCTGGTGCGGCACGACGGGCAGCAGGCGTCCAGTACAGTGTGTGTGTGCACACGCTCACACGCTCACCGTTGGACTCGAGCACCTCGGCGGTGAGGCGCAGCGTGTAGGGCTGGTGCGGCACGACGGGCAGCAGGCGTCCAGTACAGTGTGTGTGTGCTGCACACGCTCACACGCTCACCGTTGGACTCGAGCACCTCGGCGGTGAGGCGCAGCGTGTAGGGCTGGTGCGGCACGACGGGCAGCAGGCGTCCAGTACAGTGTGTGTGTGCACACGCTCACACGCTCACACGCTCACACGCTCACCGTTGGACTCGAGCACCTCGGCGGTGAGGCGCAGCGTGTAGGGCTGGTGCGGCACGACGGGCAGCAGGCCGCGCTCCGCCAGCGCGCCGTGGCCCGCCTCGCGCCGCCCTGGCGCTCCGCCGCCGCCGCGCCCCACCTCGCCCGTCGCGTACCCTGGGAACTCGTAGTGCAGGAAGAAGCTCTTCTCTTTTATACCGCTGCCAATAGAGAAACATTAAATCATAAGAATAAAAAAAAAAGAAAAAGTCATAGCTCATAGGATAACAGAGCTCGAAAGAAATATAACATAGCCTCTACAGCACAACTCTCTTCACAGCCGCTCATGAGTAAGGATCACGAATCAACCCCGAAACTAGTCGAGTCCTCGCGATGTAATTACGCGTAAGTTAAACCGGTAGTTATTATATTAAAACTTTATTAAGAACAAGGGATTGGATGGGAGGGATCCCACCGCTACCTCAGTGGTAAAACTTGCAGAGTTATATTAGTACCTGGTAAGCATGGTGAGCGTGTCCATCTTGAGGGCGCTGTCGGGCGAGTCGAAGGCGACGGTGGCCAGCACCTGCGTCTGCCCGCGCTGGAACAGCGCGCTGCCGTGCAGCGGCTCGTACAGGGACACCTGCATCATTGACAACGAATTTTTTTTTATATTGTTCACTATAATATCTTGGGGGAAAGGGATTGTTAGTAATGGATTCAAATAGTCCCATTACTAGCAATATACCCTATCAGGTCGACCTCCAAGTGTTTCCTCCTGGAAACCGCCGTGATTGATTCATTAGTGAATTTATCACGATGGGCTAACTGACCTGCTTCATATTCACTTATCATCCCTCACTGGTGCCCCGCTAGTGTATACCGATGGCGCAGGCGGGGTTACAATACCATTATTACCCATTAAAAAAAATACTATAATATTTCCGTGGCGTAGTTGTGAGCACGTTGTATTATGTGAGGGCCCGTATTCGATACCCGGCCGGGTCAATTTAGGAAATGAATTTTCTGTATTGGTTCTGGCCTGGGTATTCTTGGTTGCGCCGGCAAATGCTATGGTTTTTTGGCTTTTCATAATACAGAGAATCCCAGCTTGAGGGCTACGCGAGGTGTGATCGTTTAGTACATATAGGGCATGTGCCTCATTTGACGTTAATTACTGCCATCCATAAGTACCTATAACCGTGGACGACTGACTGTTTATTTACTCGTTAAACAAATTTAAACTTTACCTGACAACTGATTTTTCTCAATTCATCTAAATGCCTTCCATCGCATCGCGTGTCCGTTTCAAATATCATATCCCTGAAGATCTGCTTGAGGTTGGTATTGAAGCAGTCCTGTAGCTGGCCCACGTCAGCTTCGGTGTCTCTCAGCTGGTTGAGGACCGTCTGCCGAAGTTCGGAGATGGCAATGTCTCGGGATAGCTTGTCGTGGGAGTGATCACTGGATCGAACAGAAAAAAAAAAGTATATTTTGAGATGTCCATAATATTCCTCAAATCTATAAGTGCCAGTTATCACTCAGTTAGGTCAGTTTTTTTTTAATGGGTGGGTATGGTAACCCCGTCTGCGCTATCGGTATACACTGGCGGGGCACCAGTGTTAGATGACTAATGAGGATGAAATCAGGTCAGTTAGCCCATCCTGACGAATTCAACTAGAATTAGCCACGATAGTTTCCAGGGGGAACCACATGGAGGTCGACCCGACAGGGTATATTGCTAGTAACGGGGCAATTTGACCACATTACTAACAATTCCTTTCTCCCCAGTTAGGTCAGTTAGGACAGCTCGTTTGTCCTTCTAAGACGCAAGTAATATAAAATCTGTAATATTCAGGGAAAGGGATTGTTAGTAATGGAGACGGAGAATCCCATTGCTAGCAATATACTCAACCAGGTCGACCTCCTCTCGGTTCTCCCTGGAAACTATCATGGTTAATTCCTGATGAATTCATCATGATGGGCTAACTGGCCTGTTTTCATTCTCATCTATCACCCTTCACTGGTGCTCCGCCAGCGTATCCCGTTAGCGCAGGCGGGGTTACCATACCATTTTCACAGATCAAAAAACAATCTGTAATATTCCTTCTACTAGTGTTTACCCACCTAAGAATTTCTCTAATTTTCATTGTAGATAATGTCTTGATGTTATCAACGATGCTTTGTTCTAAAGGCAATGGTATTTCGTACTCCCGCTTCATTTTCCCATGGTCCTTTTGCAATTTTTCTATCCCTCTAACTATGTGTTGGGCTTCTTTAGTACCTGTAAGCGAAACATGACGGTAATGATGATATTAGCAATTAACTATTCTCCGCTGAACATACGCCTACCCCTTGGGGGGGTTTTGCTAATAATTACCACGTTTAGCAAAGCTGGTAGGAAACCGCAATTAGGCTTTAATAAGAGGGATGCTACTGCCCATCTCTTGACCATTAAGTTCCCTCAGTCGCTTTTTTCGTTACCCACGGGAAAGGAAGGGGTGGTTCATCCTATGCCGGGACCACACGGCAAAAGTAAAATATACTTATTGCTAAAACTACATCAGCATACAACTACATTCATACTAAAACATCTCCAAGGCCTAACTGCGGTGGCCAATCTGCCAAGCGTGGCAACTACTAGCAAAGCCCCTCCAAGGGGGAGGCTTATGTTTAGCGGTGAACAGTTAAAGGCTAACATGATGATGATAATGTATGATTCCATACAAAATTCTATATTCAGGTCGATTTTTTTTTATCTTAAATTATCCAGTAATAAAAAGTCGACTTACATTCATACCTAATTTGATTGCTTTCAGCAGATCCTGCTGCAAGATATCCGCAGCGCTGCCTTCTAACATCACGACCAGGTTGCTTTTGGTTGCTGCCACCACCAAATTCAAACTTGACTTTTCTAAATCTTTACGTGTAGGGTTGATTATTATTTCATTGTCAATGTTGCCTAATCTAAAATAAAATGTGAATTTTGTTTAAAGATTAGCAGAAAGAGACATATATGTTATTTGCATGGATACCTCTGTCTCACTGGTATTTCTACTGTGAAGCAGTTGCTTGCATGGCTGTGTTTCGATCTGAACGGCAGTGAAATTACAGGATATAGAAGTATAATATCTTAGTTTTTATGAATGGCAACACATGAGTGGTATCATGAGCATAATAATTGCATTCCACTGGGTGGTAGTTTAAAAAAAAAGTACTATAAAAAAAATGCTTATTATTAAGTTTACTTGAATAAAAAATAAAAAATATTCTAAGTTGTATAAAAAAAATTTAAGAGACGAATTAACGTGATTATTTAGGTAAACTATTATCATTTATCAGGGTTATCTCAATGTTCGACCCTCGTGATCCTGGGCCATCAGATTGTTTGGTATTCTAAGTATTAAGCTGAAAAAGCTTATTGAATATATATATATATATATATATATATATATATATATATGAATGTACGTATGTATGTACTGTGGTAGTATAACTAACCTGACTGCTCCAATGGGACCATTCCATGGCACATCGGAGAGAGCCAACGCAGCGCTGGCGGCATTAACTGCAATAGTCTCGGGAGGGTTGGTCGCGTCCACCGCTAGCATGTTACATACTACCTGGGTGTCATAGTTGTAGTTTTGGGGAAACAGGGGGCGCAGCGAGCGGTCTATGAGCCGCGACGTTAGAATCTCGCGTTCTGTTGGACCTGTGAAGGAAAATCTTTATTTGTACCCGTTCGTAACCAAAAGCATTAAGCTTTTTGATGGAATTGGAATCAAGCATCTGTTTTGCCAATGCAATGTTAATGATGAACTTAGCCAGGGGTCTGATCGATTGCCTATCCTTGTAGAGTCCAAAATTTTCTAAACCTAAAAGTTCCTAACTAACTCGTGTCACTCTGGATTTTTTAATATTTTTTTTTATAATAATACAACTTAGAATGGCAAACAAGCTGACGGCCCACCTGATGGAAAGTGGTAACCGTCGCCTATAGACATGAGCAGTACCATGGACATAACAGAGTATACTGTTTTGTCCATGATACTCCTCATGCATTGCTATTCCTGAAGACTCAGGTGTTATTCCTCTGTACCCTGTATATTCACTGGTATTCCTATCTTTCAAACCGAAATAGCCATGCAAGTACAACAGCTTCACAGTAAAAACATGAATGGGACAGAGATGCCCAAGCATACAACTTTTGTACCAAGTCTCCCTCTGGTATATATAGCAATATTTTAGTACTTTAGTTATAATATTTATATTTTAGTCCAATAAAGAATATATTAAATATAAAAAATATCCAAAAAATAATATTGGATAACAGACTTTTAACATATTTAATTTGTGCTCATAATGTAATTGAAGTGTAACTAATAAATAAATAAAGCAAAACAATCCTATGATTAATGGTAAATAACAAAATTTATTAAAAAAAAAGACCTTATTTTTTTATTAAATTTTAATGTAATGTGGAAACATTTTTGTTTATTACCTAATTCTCTCCTCAAAAAGTTAGTAGGTATTCTTCCTGCTGCCGCCGCTTTTTGCCTGTAATCGACCACAAGCGGCAGGAAATTGCTTGAACTCTGTTTAGCTTTGGAGACCACTGTTGATAGTACACTGGTTTGACCAAGAGTAGCCACACAGGCACCATCAGCAAAACGAGCATATTGGCCAGTTGATAGTTTCAAACTTGTTCTGGAATGTAATTTAAAAATAAAAATTTACATAAACAATAATACAAAAAGAAAATTAAATAAAATTTGAAGTATTATTCAATATAGCCTTAGTTGCCAGATTCAAATAAATAAAATCTGATATTGATTTTGTCAATTGTATTAGCTTGGTTCCAATTATAATTATAAAAAAAAAGTTATCAAAACAAATAGCTACTGCCAATTACTGTTTTGGTTAGTTTTTTTTTTAACTTAAGTACAATATAATTATAATTTGTAATTTTTATTGTAATTTATTGTTTACCAGACAAAGGCTAAAAGGCTTTTTTGTACAACTTACAATGGCAAATAAGCTGATGGCCCACCTGATGGAAAGTGATAATAACAAGAGTATATTGTGTTGCTTATGATACTCTCATGCATGGTAATTCCTGAGAAGTAAGGTGTTATGCCTCTCTACCCTGTAATTTCATTGTCATATTCCACCTTTTAAACCGAAATACAGCAGTTTTAACTACTTCAAAGCAGAAACATGAATGGGACAGTGGCACCCAAACTGACGGCTTTTGTATAGTCTCCGTCTGGTAACTATTTCAGCACTAAAGATCCTTGAAATGAAATTGTGTAAATTTATAGTAAGTCCCGGTTTCATAACCTTAAAATTGTAGGTCAACTTAACCTCAAAACTTACCCGTTTGTAAACGTAATATTTGTTTCCCCAACATTAGACTGCGACGAGAAAAATCGGGCACAATGTCGTCCTTTAATTCTAAATTTACTGAACATGACACGTTTTTTTATTAACATTTTCATGTAAATCAAAGGTGATCACTAAATGGAAACAAAATTCGAGCTTTAGTGATCTCAAAAAATCAATTAAGTTAATTATTACAAGAAATTAAGAATATATAAATACTAGAAATTGATAGTTATATAAACTATTAAAAATTATTTTTATTTATTTCTAATAGGAAAATTTTTTGAATAATAATTGACAAATGAACTGACATAATATTAGTTGTTGATTGATCAAGATTGGCTGTCTGCATCAGTCTGCACATGTTTACAAGCTAATGCGAGACTGACATAGTTGTCTATCAAACTGTCAGTTCTTTCGCAAAATGTCAAAAGTTTTAAAAAATAAAATTCTAAATCCTTAATTTCAAAAGAGTCCCTTAATTAATTATTTTTTATTTATTTAGGATTGTTCACTAATTATATGGCAATTAAATATAAAACAAAATAAATATGTCGAAGAAAGTTCAGGGTAATGACTCATTTCAGAGAATAAATTATCTTTATCAAGTAAGTTTATAAATTTTAAAATATTTTTATTTCATTAATTTTAAGGTTGAAATTGTATATAAAAACACTTCTACATTTCGTAAATTAATTTGTCACCAGTATTTTTAATTATTACTTATATATTTTTTTTTGTTATAGATAAGTAAACAAATGTGTACGAAAAATCCAGGATTGTCGTCTTACTACGGTAATCTAATAGTAAATATTGCTAAGAAAAATGTTTTGAAAATGTAAGTTTTAACTTACTATATATTTTTTTTTTTATATTTTTTGTTCCTTTTTTATAATGTATGCATAGAGGTGGACTAAGTCCATCAGAGGCCTGGGATGGCAAAGTTGAATAAGTCTGGAGTGATTCATGTAATTTGATGTAATTTTAAAACCTTTTTATTCAGTTTATATTTGTATGTATTCATGTTTATTTAGTTAAAATCTTGCTCTGTAAAATTTAAATACAATTTAAATAAATATACATAGAATATGGATATAAATGGAGGTGTATGTTGGCTTCCCAGAACCAGAGTTGCAGGGCAAACCGCCCCGCCTGCCTGCTACCTTTGTTAGTCCACTACTTGTGTGCACTAAATAATAATTATATAAATTGATGTTTATAGTACATAATAGTCTACAAGGTTTATAAAAGATTGGATTTGAAACAGTATCAGATTAGAAAATATGTCAATAGTCGGATATTATATGTAGTTGGTAGTATGATAGTAGGTATTTAATATATATACTTTCTAGTATACTATATATTCAGTTTATATTATAAACTCTCATTATATTAATTGAAATGAAAATATTTCATGGTTTCTTCTCAGTATTTAAGAATGGCAATTTATAATGGGTCCCCACCCATTATATGAAAGCGATTGTTAGTTATGGGGTCTAATAGTCCTATTGCTAGCAATATATCCTATCAGGTTTACCTCCACGTGATTACCCCTGGAAACCATTGTGGTTAATTCATGTTGAATTAATTATGAAGGGCCAATTGACTTGCATTTATTCTCACTTAATATCTCTCACTGGTGCCCTACCAGCTTATTAATTAAATATTCATTATTGAACATTATACATTTTTTTTTATATTATTTCAGACATCCAGACATAAAACGACAGATATGTAAAACATGCCGCTGTATGCTCATAGCTAATGTTACAGCGAAAACAAAAATAAGAAGTAAGAAAAAATCAAAGATCATAGAGTGGACATGCAACACTTGTGGGGCTAAACGCAGTATTCCAGTAGAAAAGAATAAAGATTATAGTCTATGGGTGGATAGACCAGAGGCAGTTGTTGAAGTGATTAATTAAATAAAAGAGAAAAATATAAGATTGATGTTTAATTTTTTTATTTATTTTTTTATTATAATAATTTCGGTACTTAAATCACATATTATCATAATTATTAAATAATTACAATTAATCCATTGTCCACTGTTGAACATAGATCTCCCATATTATACCACAAAGTATGATACTGCACCATTTACATCCAGCGACTCCCTGCAGTACTCTCGACATCGTCACTTATCGCAGGGGGTCGTCCTGCACTGCGCTTTCCTGCACGGGGTCGCCACTCGAGGAGTCGAAAAGCTTTCATATACTATATACACATATTCTTCAATACATGGACTAAGGAGGGAAAGAAAACCATATTTAGCAATATACACTAATTAGTAGATTTTATCCTTTTATTTCAAACCGATTAGATAGCGCACGCTATATTACAGAATTTTTGCCGACTTGAATTACACTTATTGTGTTTAATTATTGAAAATTAATATTCACCAGAATAAAAAGTATCACTCAGGGTTAATATACCTTTATAACAGTGTAAGAATCTTCGAAATCGGATCAGTAATAGATACCGGAGACTACCCGGATATCCAAACTCACAAACTTTACCTCTTTATAATATTAAATATAGGTTTTCGTTACTAGATCTACGTAAATATAAATGTATTTTAGGATATTGATTGTCTATTTTATAAACTTAAGTAAGTTGGAGGGTAAAAGAAAATAAAATGCGGTAAAACAGTTGGGAAATATTTTTATTTGGTATACACAAGGAAAGGTGAAAAAATGATCTCTTATTTCCGCACTGAGCCTCTCATTTAGCACGTTGTACGTGTAAGTCGTGGCTAATATAGCCAGCCAAGCCCGCCACGAAAAAATGGTGTCCGTCCTATTTTTATCCCATAAGATACCAAAGCTGCAGTATCGAAAATAAATATTGGCCTGATGCTGTCCAGTCGCCGATAAGAGTGAAATTGCAATAAGAAATAAAGGGTCTTTATAAGATCATGGATAATTAAGAAAGAAATCATATTGTTTTTTTATATTTAATTGCTGCTTGTACTATTATTAATACTATTTAATAGAATTCTTTTTAAAAGAATACAATGTGTATATTTTTATTCTAGTAACACTACTTGTTACTAGAAATGTTGGTATGTTAAACAAAAAAAAAAAAAAAACGCCTTCAGTATTGGCAATACCATTTATTTTGATAAAATAGAAACTATTGAACCGATTACGATGAAATTTTTGTAGGACCAATCTGGAATCCTGGATGATATCTTTTGAAATAAAAATATAATTTCCAAATCGGTTTGTAAATGACGGAGTTCTGTGGTAATAAACACATTTTATTGTTTTTTGGGAGAATTATTTACAGAATGACATGTATTGTTATTGATTGATTTTTTAATATACTATTATAATTTTTATATTACTAATTGAATAAATAGTTGATGTAATGTTAAGTCACTTATATGTATGTGTTAAATGTAATGTATCTTGTACTTAATAATAATATTGCATGCTTTAGAATATAAGGCGAACAATAGATCAATATCTATAAAAACAATGTTCTGGCAAATAAACAAATTTAATCTAAAAAAATAAGTACAACCGAATTGAGAATGTTCTACATTTTTTAAGTCGGATAAAAATATTCTAACCAAATAAAATGTCGATATTGTTGTCATAATAGAAATAAACATTGTAGGTATATTGCTTTTCGTTATTTATTTACATTTTATGTTCACTGCTATAAAGATTTTATTTCGCGGTTGTTTTCCTTCTAGAAATGTGGTTTTACGATGAAGCTGATTTTTCATAATGTACTCTTACTTATTTTAATATCGGCGTCACACACAACCTTAAATTCGAATTTGAAAGAGAACGTAATATCTTTCCTGCAAGGATCACAGGACAATAAGCATACTATATACGATGTCTCTAATAAAGAACATGACAATAAAATTGACAAAAGAATTCCGAAACAAACAGCTAATGTAATTAGAGTTAACGAGTTCAAAAATCTAAATGATTTAGGGATATCAAAAACAAAAGATAAGGCCAGTAGAAAAAGGTACCATATTGATTCGTTGTTGAATTATTTGAAGCGAAGAGCTGGGAGTTCCCGTGTGCTGTCCACTTCGAATTCCGAAAGTTCTAGTAGGGAGTTGAAAGATTGGAAGGAGCATTGGATACAGAAGAAATTCGAAGCAGCTAACGCTACACCGATTAGAGGAGACGATGTTAACATGGTTGCTGCTAGTAAGTTTGTGCTTTTTAACGTTTTTATATATTTTAATTAATCACGAACCTTTGACGTTAAAAAGTAGATTGACGAACTAGGATTGCTTGCTAGTCATAATAAACTCACCACACAGTACGATGCTTTTCTTAGACAATAATAAATATTAAGATTTAAAGTTCTTTAATACATTCTTATCGAATGAAGTACCTATCTGAGGTAAGTGAATTAGAAATTGTCATTTTTAAATATTTTAGGATCTTGGGGCGTTCCTTGTGGAGATCCAAACCAACATGATATACCTTGGGGAACGTGTATGTTGCCCATGGAGTGTGAAGCTGAATATCGTATCTATAGAGGCGACTATTTATGTGGTTGGACCCAGTTCGTGTGCTGTTCTTTGCAGCTTACAACTTATGACATGTACCAGCGATTCGATATTTCTTTCGCTGATTCAAGTTTAGCTACAGATTCAGAAGAGAAGAGGAATAAAGGTAAGAGCTTAAAAGAAAGAAAGGGCAGAAAGAGATTGATGAAGAAAAAGAAGCGTAAGAGGGAGAGATTGAAACGTAAACGAAAGATAAAGAGAAATATCAAGAAAATTATAAAAGAAATTAGAAAGATCCTAAATAAGTCCTATAGTAACGGTACAACCGCAAGAAAGAAGAAGACTAAGCAGTTGAAGGCGTTCATTCAGCATTTGAAGAAACAATTCAAGAATGACAGGAAGCATGTAAAGAATATTCACGAATTGGAGTTGATGAAGATTGATTCAGCATTACAAACAAAGTTGAATCAAATAAGAAACATGAACCAGGACTTTATAAAGAATTCCACGTTTAGAGACATCGTAGTGAATGGAACTATTACCAAGGAAGGTGCAAGGATGTTGGTGGCAGCTTATCCAGAATTGGCGAGCTATTTGAAAACGAGGCGCAGTGGAAATCGTCCAAAAGATTATATGGATTATGATATAAAATACGGATTGGTTTATTACTAAATTTTAGTTACTTTGTATTTTGTTTTATTTATTCTTCTATTGGAAGGTGTATGTAAGAATTGAGGTATTGTCTCTGTCTACACCAAAAGTGGTCTGGCACAGAGACAAAGATAGAGACAGATATATTTTTGTTTATATTAGGTATAGTGAAGACTAGAAACGTTTATTCTATGATTAGTCCACTACTTTTTTTATAATACAAAGGACAAACGAGCATGGGGCTCACCTGATGGTAAGTGACTACCGACATCGCTAGCGAGTCCGTGAGATAGAATAAGACAGTAACGTCGGATGTTTCATTCCAACTCATGGACTCGCTAGCGACGTTTATTCCATCGATGAATTCTCTTGCCACTTGTTTAGAAGGCCTGAACAGATTTGGTGATTCGTTTTTATTGAAAACGTTTCCGTGTCAGTTCCATACTGTACATACAGTAAAGATTAATGTCGGTTTTTTGTGGAACCAAATCTTAAATTATGTGTTTAAATGATGGTAACCAAGAAAGAAGATTTACCACCCTTTATTGGCCATTATTGCCTCTATAAATGCTGTAAATTGCTCTTTACAACGTTTGGTTACATCCCTTTCCTCTAATGACGATGTCTTTGGGAACATTTTTGTTATTGGTTACAAGTATTTTAGGTATGTCCCTTATAGTTGATAAAGACGATTTTATTTCTTTACATATTTCACGTTGATAATAGGATGTTTTACTCGAAAGGCGTTATTTTCTATTAGCTATTTATCGCGTTCTTTATTAGGTGCCTCTGGACTCTATAATTTGCTTTTGAACCGACTTCAAAAAGAAGAAGGTTATCAATTGGTTCAATTCTTTTTATGTTTGTTACCACATAAATTTGTCAGTTGTAAACTGATTTGGGAAATTCTGTTTTCATCTGAGAGCAGAGTAGAAATCTTAGATATAGATGGTGCCATAGTAATTTTATTAAAATCGACTCAGTAGTTTTTAGATCAAAATAATTGGTTTTCTGTTTTAATTCTGAGGACTTGTTCGGATTGATACCTGCTGCTGATTTTCACCACCGTACAACCCGCCACAAACTAAAGTTTCATCCCAATCATCTGGATGAGTGGCGGTCTGCCACCGTGCGTTTTTCAAGGCACTTTCTTCCACGCACAACCATTCTTTGGAATCAATTTCCAGCAGCAGTATTTTCGAACCGAAACGACAACATAACCTTCAAGAAAAGAGCATATTCCTTTTTAAAAGGCCGGCAGCACACCTGCAATGCTGCTGGTGTTGTGGGTGATCATGAGCGGCGGTAGTCACTTACCATCAGGTGAGCCGCTTGCTCGTTTGCCCCCTGCGTTGTAAAGAAAAAAATCACAATTGAAATTTCTTTTTGAACACAATCGTCAATTATTAGAAAAGATCGATCGAATAGATAAAAAATGTTCACAAACAGTAGGTATCACCAGAGGGAGACTTTGTACAAAAGTCGTTTGCTTGGGCACCTCTGTCACGTTCGTGTTTCAACCGTGAAGCAGTTGTGTTTGCATGACTGTTTCGGTTTGAAGGGTGGGATATGGCAGTGAATTTACAGAGTACAGAGGAATAACACCTTAGTCCTCAAGAATGGCAATGAATGGGGGGTATTATGGGCGAAAGAGTATACTTTGTTATGTCCATGATACTGCTCATGTCTAAAGGCGACAGTTACCACTTTCCATCAGGTGGGCCGTCAGTTTGTTTGCAATTCTAAGTCGTATAAAAAAGGTATATTGAAAAAAAAATCCTTAATCCATGACAGTAACAGTAAGTATAACAAAAGAACTCAGATTAAGTTTTATGATTGAGTAAGGAAACGGTCCTTTGGTCCCCATGTATTATAAACTTTGATGGGCGTGCCTATCTCTTGGGACACAGAATGTTTGCAGTCATTGTTTCTGATAACGTTATGGAATAAAGTTTACGACTAGTTCACAAAGTTATGTATTTCGTTATAATTTTAATGTGTAGAAACATACCTATTCGTAAGTATGTACATATTTATGTCATCATATCATATTAGCCTTTCAATGTTCACTGCTGAACATAAGTATGCCCCTTGGGGGTTTTGCCAGTAGTTGTCACGCTTGGCAGGCGGATTGGTAAACACAGTCAGGCTTTAGAGTTGTTTTAAGAGCGACGCTGCTGTCAATCCCTCGTCCGCTTTTAGTCGGTTCTTACGACACCCACGGGATAGGAAAGGGTGGTTTATTCTATGCCGGGACCACATGACCAAATATTAATGGTATGTACATACCATATACTTATTTATGTAGTATGTACGAATAAAGATTTTTATGTAACTTGGGATAGTAAACAAGCTGATGGACCACCTAGTTTAAAGTAAACCATTACCTTTAGAAATGACCTGAATTATGATATACTAATTGTATATCGCGGCTTTGCATACGTGAATTAGTACATAAAGTATCCTATGTGCTAAGTTTTTTTTTTATACAACTTTTTTTTGGATGTTAAATCTGTTTTGTTAAGGCATTCCGTCCTCGCTATAGAATATGGGTGACGGGATGCCTTTTCTGATGTGTGCACTGTGGTAATTGGGGCGTAATACTATTATGGCAATATACTTTAAGATTGGGGGGAAAGGGATTGTTGGTAATGGAGACTGAGAATCCCATTTCTAGCAATAAACCCAACCAGGTCGGCCTCCTCGCGGTTCTCCCTGGAAACTATCATGGTTAATTCCTGATGAATTCATCATGATGGGCTAACTGGCTTGTTTTCATTCTCATCTATCACCCTTCACTGGTGCTCCGCCAGCGTATCCCGTTAGCGCAGGCGGGGTTACCATACCATTTTCACCCATCAAAAAAAAAAAAACTTTATGAATGGGCGACCGAGAACTACAAGTAAGATGGGTATGTGGTCGGCTTCCGAGCGAACAGTCCCTGTTCCTTCATCCTATAATCTCGGATTCTTCAAACGTAGCGTGTGAGCCGGCATAGTGCGGTCAACCGTTGAAAATAAAACATTCTCTTTTCGGTTGTTGTTCGCTCAGAATGGTGTGGTCACATGTTTCTGAAATGTTTTCTCCCACGAATGCTCAGGTTATAGAATGAGCTCCCTGTAGAGGTTTTTCCAAGAGACTACAACATGGGGTTCTTCAAAAAAGGGATAATGAGCTTTTTTTAGGGTCGACAACGTACGTGTAATGCTTCTGGTATTGCAGGCGTTTATAGGCTACGTTAAGCACTTACTATCGGTCGGGTCGTACGCTTATTTGCCACCTCAGTGAAATATAAAAAAAAGAAGTATCTATATTTACTAAATATTATACTTAATTAAAAAAAAAATGATTAAAATTTGTTATTGAAAATTTGATAATAACATCATCAATGATAATCTATCTTTCTCATGGTTGTCGTAAGAGGCGACTAAGGGAACTTAATTGTCGATGAATGGACAGTAGCGTCCCTCTTAAAACGTCACCAAAGCCTAACTGCGGTTGCCAATCCGCCTGCCAAGCGTGATAACTAGTAACAAAATTCGCCTTATGGGGAAGGCTTATGTTCAGCAGTGGACAGTTAACGGCTGAAATAACGTAATGTAAATTGGACTCTGTTTTCCGAACTTATCCTCTCATTTGGGCCGTTGTGCGTATGCCAGCCCAGCTCCGCCCAGAAGCACAGAAGCTTCCTTGGATCTTCACAGGCGTCACGGAGCGACCTCACCTTTTCGTTTATTTCTAAACGTTGAGAGGCCACAGCTTTACAATCCAGGATTACGTGAGCAGCCGTTTCTTCAGCGTCAAAATAACCTCGACATAGAGGGCTGTCTGTGGCTCCTATTGTGTATAAATGTTTGTTTAATGGACAATGGGCCGTTATTGTCCCTAACGGCTGATATAATCATTTACGATAAATACCAGTTTACAGGTCGTTATATGTAAGAACAAAAAGTCATTTAATACGAGAGTTCATTTGGACGTGGAAATACTTGAAAAAGCCACAATAACAAAACAATTGTATTTAATAGGTGCCTATGAACATTTGAATAGTGGTGTGTCATTCGATTTTGCCTCTTAAATATATCAACGTAAGGTTCGATAAAATGTAAGGATATAAGAGCTATGAAACTAACAGGCGACTTATTTGGAAAGTTGTTCGATGCTAAGGGTTGCCACATAAATATTTTTTTTTTAATATTTTTATTTTTAATAAATATAGGTAATTATTTATTAAATAGGTACTAATTTTAATTTCAGTTACATACAAAACTATAAAATTCGAGTCGAGTTAAAATTGGGGTCGAGTTTCTCTCTTTAAGAAGAGAATATGGTATACAGCCAGGCTGGCCGGGTAGTTTTTCTTAATGGATGATAATGAAATGGTAACCCCATCTACATTATAGACGTGACACCAATGAAGGAAGGCAGATGAGATGGTGCAGGATGGTTTATAGAGAGAATCGCGTGGAAGTCGGCCTGAGAGAGTATTTTGCTAGCAATATAACTGTTAGTCCTTTTTACTTGTAATTCTTTCTCCCCTGGTCAGATGGTTTGCTATAGGACTAGGATTTACTTCGAATTTTTCTTCACTTATACTGGTGTACTGTGTTTTATCCCTTTAACGTCCGAGGAATAATAAGGAGTGGTGACGCATTACAGATATTTCAATTTCTTATATATTTAATAAATCTTTACGATTGCTTTTAAAATCTTGGCCATTATTTGAATCAAAATTTAATTACCTTTTCATTAATTAGAAGACTAGTTCTTAATAATTATGTGTGTGTGTAATTTAAAACGAAATCAAATAGAAAAATCAGAATTTTTAACTATGTCTTGCCACAGTCGAACTCATTTATTCATAAAAACGTCAAACCTTATATAAACCTATTTTAACTATTGAACTGTTTTGTCTCTTTCTTTTAAGTTAAATTCCCAATTTGAAAGAAAGTGACAAAACAGTGTAATAGTTAAAATAAATTTGTATAAGATTTTAATTTTTATGAATAACGGGGTATGTGCGGATTGTTTTAAAATACGAGTATAAAGTAGAATGTGACAGCCCTGGTTCTACACCTAGCTATAAATCCAAACTCCCTTTGGCATCATTCCAGACGTGCTGTCACACTACCTTACAAATCTTGATATGTTACACTTGGCTAGAAGTTTATTTTCATTTTATTGTGAACAAAATTGTTGCCTTAGTTGGAAAGGAAGTGGACTCAAAGATGTTCGTATATATTGCTTAATCTTCAAACAACTTCGAAAAAGGAACGGGTCAACTTCCTAATAAGAGAGATTTTGTCAGTAGTTGCCAAGCTTGGTAGGCGGGTTGGCAACAGAATTTACAGGGTACAGAGGAATAACATTTGAGTCCTTAGGAATGGCAACGCATGGAGGGTATTATGTGCGAAACAGTATACTCTGTTATGTCCACGGTACTGCTCATGTCTATAGGCGACGGTTACCACTTTCCATCAGGTGGGCCGTCAGCTTGTTTGTCATTCTAAGTTGCATAAAAAAAAAAGTTAGGTTTTTGTTGATGCTTAAGAGGGACGCTGCTGTCCATCTCTGTGAATCATTCAGTACACACACATTTATGCCAGGTTGTCTGTAAGAGATTGCTTTTAACCATAAGGCCGCCTTTTGTATATGCACATTCTTTATAAATACTCCTTGTATACATCTCTACTGTGCGCAATAAAGAGTTTATTATTATTATTATTATCCTTGGCCGCTTCTTATGATACCTACGGGTAAGAAATGGATGGACCATTCGATGGCAAAATCACACGGCATTTTTCTATATTGAGATGCAGTAATAGAGGTTCTTTGGGTACCTCTGTTCTATTCGTGTTACTATCATGAAGCAATAGTGTTTGCATGGCTGTGTTTCTATTTGAAGGGTGGGATATGGCGTGAATTTACAGGATACAGAGGAATAACATCTGAGTCCTCAGGAATTGCAACGCATGGGGGGTATCATGAGCGAAACAGTATACTCTGTTATGTCCATGGTATTACTTATGTCTATAGGCGACGGTTATCACTTTCCATCAGGTTGGCCGTCAGCTTGTTTGCCATTCTAAGTTGTATAAAAAAAAATATTTTTCCTATTTTATCTATAGCTAGGTATATCTGATTTTATCTCTTTATCTATATCCAATAAATACTCTTAATCTAAGTACAAGAAATTATCTATGACATATATCATACTTCTCTATGACCATCAAAGAATATTTACTTGTTCAGTGATAATAAGATTATCTTTTCAGTATGTCCGAATAAAGATAGAGATCAATATAAAATAAAATAAATAAAAAAAAATGTGCAAATGTGTTTTCAAAAAGTAAGTACCTACATATTATTTCATGTATAACAGAAACTGTTCTTATACATGTGTTCTGTGGTAATAGTGTATATATTAATATTATAAACAGTAATGATTGGGTTGTTGGTTTGTTTGTTTGTTTGTAATCGAAAAACCAAAAAGATACTCAACTGATTGTAATTTTTAATTAATTAATAATTCCTACAGGAATAAATTGCTGAAGCACTTTGTACAACAATCTTATGAAAATTAATTTTAATTATCATAATATATATTTTTTTAATATTTTTTTAATTCAATTCACTCATAATCTTATTTTCAGATATTGCTCACAACTTAGGTTACATGTTTATTTTTATTATTTACTTAATTTTCTTACACTGTATAATTATGTTAAAGTGAATGCTGTGAATACCTATAATAGGCGTGTGCATTAATATTGTATTATATTTAATGTTTGTTATACCTATATGTTATAATGCTGTTGGTGTTCCTTAAATAATTTTTTTTTTTTCAATTATAGAAAGCTACTTTATCAGTAGTATTGGTTGTATATTATTTTGGAAAATTCTATCTACCCGCATGAAGCCGAGTCGCGTTGTTAGTAGATATATATAAAAGCAAGGAAATGTTTAAATAATTCTATCCCGTTAGATATTTTTGAGTAAATAGTAAAATAAGAAAAAAGGGGAAATTGAAATTTTAAACTTGCTTCTTGTTGATTTAACGGTGATAATGTAATTGTAACTCCGCCTGCGTTAACGGTATATGCTGGCGGGATGTCAGTAAGGGATGATAGGTGAGAATGAAGTAGGTTAGTTACCCCATCGTGACGAACTCCACTAGAATTAATCACGATAGTTTCCAGGGGGAACCGCGTGGTGTTCGACCTGATAGGGTGTATTGCTAGTTATGGGAAAATTAGACCCCATTATTAACAATCCCTTTCTCTCCTGCTTTTTGTTGTTAAGATCTTGGATTGTTCCTACTGACGTGGACGCCCGATATAGAATGGGTCAATCCTTTTTTCCGAGAGCGCCATATAAAGCGACTAAGGGAACTTAATGGTCAATGGATGTACAGCAGTGTTCCTCCTAAAACATCATTAAAACCTAACTGCGGTTGCCAGCCCACCTTTCAAGCGTGGCGACTACTAGCTCCCCTACGCCTGCTGGGGGGAAAGGGATTGTTAGTAGTGGAGACTGAGAATCCTATTGCTAGCAATATACCCAACCAGGTCGACCTCCTTGCGGTTCACCCTGGAATCTATCATGGTTAATTCCTGATGAATTCATCATGATGGGCTAACTGGCTTATTTTCATTCTCATCGATCACCCTTCACTGGTGCTCCGCCAGCGTATCCCGTTAGCGCAGGCGGGGTTACCATACCATTTTCACCCATCAAAAAAACTCTACGCCTGCTTTGAATTGACAAAAATAGCAACTGATGGTGTATCTTTCGTCCTCTTTTTACTAATTATATTTGCATAAGAAGAAAGGAGGCAACCATATGATTTACAGTTTTTATTTTATCGTTCCTTCCATGTAATTCCTTGTTCTGAGGTTGGATATCAGTAGACTATATTAGACTCGGATCGAGTGTTCGTTTGTTTAAAAGGTTTACTTAATTCCATTGATACGAACTGTACCTACTCAGATCTAGAAAAAGTCCTCAACCCTACTAAGGAACTAAGGCTATTGACATTCCCACTCTGATAACCCTAGGGTGAAGATAGTAGGATTCCACGCGACATTAGACTTCTAATTACATTAATCGCTTATAATTAATGGAGTTTACAAACTAACAATTCATTGAACGGTTTCCAGATAACTGTCTAATAACATAAATACAGTTCAAAGGATTTATTATTAAGCGTATCACAATGTATCGAATAGTAATTGTATGCATTATAACTATTGTATTTATCGATTGTGCGGACGGTTTAATTAATGGTAAATGGCTCGGAAATGATGCGGAGTACAAAGACGTAATAACGAGTTTTGGAACTGTCAGAGGACGGGTGGCAACTGATGGTGATTATTTCGCATTCCTTGGTATCCCGTATGCGGAACCGCCAGTTGGTAAGAGAAGATTCAAGGTTAGTTAATTATTATAATGAATTTGATTGCTGTTTGGTCCCGGTATAAGATAGACCACTCCTTTCTTTCCCGTCGGTGTCGTAAGAGGGAGACTTTGTACAAAAAACGATTGCTTGGGCACCTCTGTCCCATTCGTGTTTCAACCGTTGTGTTTGCATGGCTGTGTTTTGGTTTGAAGGGTGGGATATGGCGTGACTTTACAGGGTACAGAGGAATAACACCAGAGTCCTCACGAATGGCAACGCATGGGGGGTGTCATGGGCGAAACAGTATACTCTGTTATGTCCATGGTACTGCTCATGTTTATAGGCGACGGTTACCACTTTCCATCAGGTGGGCCGTCAGCTTGTTTGTCATTTAAGTTGTATAAAAAAGGCGACTAAAGCAGAGCGAGGGATGACAGCAGCGTCCTTCAAAAAACATCTCCAAAGTCTAACTGCCGTTGCCAATCCGCCTTCCAAGTGTAGCAACTACCGGCAAAGTCCCCTAAGGGGGAGGGGGAGGTTATGTACAGCAGTGGACAGTTAAAGGCTGATATAATATGATTGTAAGGGTGGATTAATGGAAGGATGGATATTTGTTACTTTTTCACGAAAAACTACTAAACGAATGCAAATGAAATCAGGACACAGGAGGTAGGTATCCTTTTTGTATATGCATCTTGTATTGTTTGCTCCAATTTGAGGGAAGGGATAGTTTCTATCCAGCTCCCCTAAACAAGATCCAAACGAAACTATTAATAAAAACGTTATCGCTGAAGAGTCAATTAGATAGAATGAGACGGTGACACGTGCTGTCTTATTCTTTCTCATGTGTGCGCTAACAAAAGTGATTCTGTCGATAGAATTATTTGTATCTTGTCTATAGGGGCAGATAAGAAGAAGTGACAAATCCATTTATATGTTGGTAGATAATCGTAGGGACCAAAGGCAGTATCGGCTGCAGGGTTAGTTAGTACGTATAATATTATATAAATGTAGAATAAACGTCAAAAGTATCCTAAGAAACTGGATTTTTATTTTAAAATATGTCCATCAAGTCTTCAAAATCAATTCTTCCAAAAATATGCGAATATTTTCTCTAGCCTATTAACCTAACCTATTATTTTTCTATTTTTTTTAATTACCCTCACAATTTTTATCACGAGGTTGACTGGAAGAAATAAGCCCTGGTATCTTGGGAATTTCCTCATTCTTTTCTTAAGAACTCTGTATCTTACAATTCAAGATTTTACTGTACAATAAAGAATTACAAATAAAAACAAACAAATAGTTTAATAAGTTAAGTTGGAAGTGTTAATAGACAAATGACCATATATATTTAACTGAGATATGAGTAATTATAATCTTGTGTAAATTAAATATAATTATTTTCTTCATTCCTTCTTTCAGGCACCATTTCCACCATCACCATGGGACGGTGTTTACGAGGCCAATAGAACAGTCATGTGTCCACAGAATGGAGTAGGTCAAGAAGATTGTCTTATCCTTAATATTTTTACACCCACTAAAATCATTAATGAATTAGTACCAGTTCTTGTTTATATACACGGAGGATCTTTTCTGATAGGATCAGGGCCTACTAAAGGAATGGATTACTTAATTAAAGAGAATATAATCGTTGTAACAATTAATTATAGACTTGGAGCACTAGGGTTCCTCTGCCTTGGAATAGATGAAGCTCCAGGTAACGCTGGAATGAAGGACCAAGTGGCAGCTTTGGAGTGGATAAAGAGAAATATAGCTAATTTCGGTGGAGATCCTAACGAAGTAACTATATACGGTATGAGCGCTGGTGCAGCTTCTGTTGAGCTATTGGTGTTATCCAAAATGAGTAGAGGATTATTTAAAAGAGCTATAGTAGAATCGGCCTCAGCAAGACCTGTATGGGTTGTTGATGGAAATCCTATAAAAACTGCAATGGATGTTGCAAGTCTATTAGAATTCCCGAAGAAAACAAAAAATGTTTTTAAGTTGGTCGAACATTACCAACAGATACCGAGTAATAAACTAAGTGAAATTAATTATGCGTATTACAATAATCTAATAGACGGAACATTTGGTTTCGTTCCATGTATAGAAAGGAACTTTAATGAGAAACAACCATTTTTAGTTGACGCTCCACATGAAATTTTAGTTAAAGAGAAATTCAAAAAAGTTCCTATTATGTTCATGTTTGCTACAATGGAAGGCCTCTTTCTCAGAAGCCGTGAATACTATGAAAATAACTATAGAGAGAGAATGGATGGAAATTTTATTGATTTTATGCCAGCAGATTTGAATTTTGACACGATCGAGATAAAAAATGAAATATCAGAAAACGTTAAGTCTTTCTACTTTGGTAATAAGACAATATCAAATGAAACTATTGTGGAATATTTAAACTATTTCGGAGACTATCTAGTTCTAGATGGTATTTTGAATTCTGCTGAGATTCATGCAAGAAATAATAACCCTGTGTATTTAATGGAGTTCGCATATAAAGGAAATATGGGTAGTAACGAGGAATTTTATAAAAATATCAATGTTGCTGGTCATGGCGATATAGTAAAGCACGCAATTCTGAATCAACCTCTTCAAAATGAAGTTAATGAGAAAGATAAACTGACTGTGCAGAGAGTATCAAAATTAATCGCTAATTTTGTTAAATTAGGGTGAGTTTAATAGTTTTGTATGGTGACGAAGTAAGGTTCAATGCGTCTCAAATCCGGACTATTGTAACAGGCGTGTTTGTACGGAGGGTACAAGGTACAGATTACAGTGTACGGAACCACAATACCTTAGTCCTCAGGAATGGCGTTTTGGTGTATTATGATTTGTTTCTTTAATAGTTTTTTTTAAACAATTTAAAATGGCTAACAAGTTGATGGCTTACCTGATGGAAACTGTTAACCGTCTGTTTTAAATATGAATATCATCGCATGGACATCACAAAGCACTGTGATGCTCATGGTACAATTTGTTACTTTTCCTGAGGATTAATGTTATATATGTACCAAGGAACAGAGATATAACAAGCAAATCCACTGCCACATCCCACTACCAGCCCCATTGCTAGTGATATATCCTGTCAGGTCGACCTTCACGCGGTTTCACCCTGGAAACTTATGCTGAATTCTAGATATATGCATCACGATCGGTTAACTGACCAGCCTTTTAATTATCACCTATTTTCTGATACTTGTGCTTCGTCAGCGTATTCCATTAGCGCGGACGGGGTTCCTATTCCAGTATCATCCGTCAAAAAGGAAAAAAAATGCATTGCAATTCAACAGCAGATATGCGAATGGGATAGAGGTCTTAGGACTTTAAGTTTTCCTCTAGTGAAACTAAGAAAATTATTAAAATTTACATACTAACACATTTTCTTCTAGCAACCCAACACCAACCCGAACTTCTCTGCTGCCTATTATCTGGCCGCTAGTTCAACCAAACAATGTTAGTTGCCTATACTTAAATCATGATTTTGAAGTTATTGAAGAGCCATACTGGGATAGGAAGGTATTTTGGGACCAGCTATACACCAAGTTCAGGAGACCACTGCGGCCAGTGAATCCTGGTTTGCTATGAATGAGTTAAATTGTGCAAAAAGAGATTTATTTTCTTGATATATTATTTAATAAATGTATAGTCATCATAATGATTCAGCAGTTAGTAAAGTAAAAAAAAAAAAAAACTGATATATTGTTTAATTTGTTACTACATAGATTAAGGTACATGATTAATAAAGTTGCCATATTTTTTCTTAATATTTAATCAATTATTTTATATGTATTATATTATTGTTACTGTATTTTTTATGTATTATATTAACTCTGTTAATTCTAAACCGATTTAAAAAAAATATTTTTTTATCTAAAAGAATACACTTATATTGGTACTATAGAAGTTTTATCCAAATCGGTCCAGTAGCTAAGTTTTTAATTTTTTAAATTTTTTATACAATTTAGAATGGCAAACAAGCTGACGACCCACCTATTGGCAAGTGGTAACCGTCGCCTATAGACATGAGCAGTACCATGGACATAACAGAGTATACTGTTTCGCCCATGACACCCTCCCATGCGTTAAATCAAGATAATTGGTTTTGTCACAATTGAAGTCGGTTTTTTTTGTGGGCCACAACCTTTAATGTTTTCGATCGCTGGACTACGAGATGTTTCGTGTATATATTTGAATTTAAAACGTGAAATCGAGTATTTGATCAGCAAAAAACTGAATTTTGACTCAGCAAATAAAATTTGTGGCTTTAAGCGCCATAAAATTAAAATGGGACTAACATGTCACATAATATGTAACATAACTACAAAAAATATAGACGAATTAAACATCTCATCCATTTGGAAGTGGCATAGTAATATACGCGTCGTGGGACCCGGCATAAAATGGGCTACCCCTTCCTTTCCCGTGGGTATCGTAAGAGGCGCCTAAAGGTATAGAATGGTTGCGGAATAGGCAGCGATATCCCTTTTAAAACATTACCAAAGCCTAACTAGCGGCTGCCAATTCGCCCAACAAGCATGGAAGTTACTGACAAAACCCCACTTATGGGAGAGGGCCGTGTTCAGCAGTGGACAGAAAACGGTTGATATGATAATAATATATTGTTTATTTATATATTTTAAAAATAATATCCATTTTTTTATATTACAACGAAACCCTTAACATTAAATAATGGGCTTTAAAACTAGCGCTACAGTATTTACTATCGTTTTATGTAAGTTTTTCAATCGATTTTAAAAACGAGAAGGTTCTTAACTGTGTTTACTTTTTTTATATTGAAGTCCCTTTTTGAAGTCGGTTAAAACCGATTTAAAAAAGGAGGAGATTCTCAATTCGGTTGTAATTTTTTTCACTTCATAACTCCATCAGTTCTAAATCGATATGGAAAATTCATTTTTATCTGATTCAGAAGGGATATCCGTTTCCTTCTTAATCGCGTCTACGTGTTGTTTTTAAGAACCCTGACCAATCATCTTACGCGCAAACTCGACGACTTCCAGCTATCCGAACAAGCTGGCTCTCGAAAGGGCTTTAGCATCACAGACCACATACATACGCTACGGCAGATTATACAGAAGACCGAAAAGTATAATCTGCCACTGTGTCTGGTGTTTGTGGACTATAAGATAGTCTCTGATTCGGTCGGGACATTGACGGTACTACAGTCTTTCCAGCGGTGCTGATGATGATGATGACATTGGAAAAAATCATTCCTATTTTTTTGTTAGGGGATCAAAAGGGATACTCAAAATTTAAAAATTCTCCCTTTTATTATTGGTTGCTCGAACTATATGGCTGGCATTCCTGCTTGTACATACTCCGGCCAATATAAGTCACTTTACTTCTTTTGTGGATTTTCACGTTCCACATTCTATCTTGCAGTGACAATCCGAGTATATCTCGCTACATCTATCGCTGAACTCTTTACATATCTAGCTAAGCAATTTGGAGTATCTTCGATAACATATCTGTAGACATTATGTCGCATCCTTCTTTGTAAACTGTAATAAAGTCTCCCAATTTTAGTTATGCGTTCTCAGAACGTTAATTCAACTCCCCAGTTGTAATGGAAACATTTGTTTAAAGGATTCCAGTCACGTTAAAAGCGTTGGAAGAACTAGGTACAGGGAATCTCGTTTGTAACAAGACGTAATCAAAATGCACCCGCAGGATTCGACTCGATTAAGTTGTTCGTATTTTCGAGAGTTCGAGAATAAATAGATTGGGTGGAAGTGACACTCATAGACTTTCCTCTGGCGAAATAAGGCAATGCTGTAAATGCGCCTTTTTTTCTCTTTGGACCTTGTGTTGGTCTCCCCAGGGTTGTTACAAAATTATTCGCATTTAGCGAAGACGCGCGGAAACAGCCTAAGAACAAAACCGAAATCTTTGGTGACAGTTTTGTTAGATAACGCTTCTCTGCGGTCCGGGAATATCATAGACTTAGTATTATGTACTACTAAGAGATTACCAAGATTAAATCCTTGCCTGAATTTCTAAAGTTTCTAATTCAGGCTGAATTAAAAAAAAAAGATTGTCATGCGCTCTCTACTTTGGTGGGCACGTAAAGCCATCGCCCCGTAAGCTACGTCAGAGGCCTTAGTGCAGTGGTTTCTAAGATTTTTAATTGTTATCCCTATGACCTATTAAGTAAACTGTTTTCATAGAGGTAAATAAAAATATCTTTCATCATATTGTCATCATATCAGTCGTTAACTATCCACTACTGGATATAGGTTTTCCCCATAAGGGAAGATTTGTTAGTATTTGCCAAGCTTGGCAAGCGGATTAGCAATCGCAGTTAGGTTTTGGTGATGTTTGAAGAGAGACGCTGCTGTTTATTTCTCGACTATTGCGTTTCCTTTTCGTGGGTGTCGCAAGAGGCGACAGATAGCTTTGTTATTCACAAATTGGACGTTAGCCTTGCGATATTTTAGTGTTTTATTTTTAGCTAGACATTTAATTAGATTAGGTATTAATTATTAAGTTCTTTGTTACCCTCACAGAATAGCTGATTTATCCCCATAAGTGTAATCACCCCAGATTCTGAATCCAGGCCTTAGTGTATTACGAAGACAGTTTAAAAATTCTTGCCACCAGATGTCAATACCCTCACACGTGTAGGAGTACTGAGATATTTGTTACATGTAAGCTCTGATTGATTTAGTTTTCAAAAAATTGAGGGTCGTGCACGCCATTTTTTTTATGATACTTGATATGTCAAACAAGTTGACACCGAACTTGATACATAATGGTAACCATCACCTATAGACATGAACCACGGAAGTATCGCTTCCACCTAGATATTTATTGATATGGCTTTACACTTTGTTTGGTACATTATTGCTGAGTAATAGTCTCTGGAGTGTTTAGTAAACATAGTAGAGTAGTTATTTTCAACAGACAGTACAACGATTTTATATAGAGGATCTTCTTTTCTTAAATTGTCCCCTTCTGTCCCTATCCCAATTATGTGGGGGTAGCGTATTATATCTTTATCCAGGTTTTGGCTTTTGGTTTTATGATCGTACTCCTGCCTGATGTCTACACTCCTTAAAAATGCATTGTTGATATCTGTCTCCCTCCCTTCCCGTGTGATCCCGCCATATGTTCTATGGCCACCCCAATAAATAAATAAACAAACTCACTTTGACCTTGATATTATTAGTACGGATTTAGTTAATGGAACACCATCATCATTCCTGCCATTATCTTTCCACTGCCAGACATCGACTTCCCCCATAGACTGCCATAAGGAACGATCCTGAGCTGACTGAATTTGAGGTGGGGGGAAAGGGATTGTTAGTAATGGAGACTGAGAATCCCATTGCTAGCAATATACCCAACCAGGTTGATCTCCTCGCGGTTTTCCCTGGAAACTATCATGGTTAATTCCTTGTGAATTCATCATGATGGGCTAACTGGCCTGTTTCATTCTCATCGATCACTCTTCACTGGTGCTCCGCAAGCGTATTCCGTTAGCGCAGGCGGGGTTACTATACCATTTTCACCCATCAAAAAAAAATACATTTGAAATCATCATTCACACTCACACACTATTTAGTGGGGGTTATCGTACACTGCGTTTGCCCGTATGTGGTGGCTACTCAAGAATCTTTCTTCTTCATCGGTTATTGGTTCTCCGAGCTATGTGACCAGCCCATTGACACTTCAGCTTGCTTATCCTTCGGGCTATGTCGTTTACTTTGGTTCTTTAATGGAACATTTTTTTTTTTATACAACTTAGAATGGCAAACAAGCTGACGGCCCACCTGATGGAAAGTGGTAACCATCGCCTATAGACATGAGCAGTACCATGGACATAACAGAGTATACTGTTTCGCCCATGATATCCCCCATGCGTTGCTATTCCTGAGGACTCAGTTGTTATTCTTCCGTACCCAGTAGATTCACGCCATATCCCAGCCTTCAAACCGAAACACAGCCATGCAAACACAACTGCTTCACGGTTGAAACACGAATGGGACAGAGGTACCCAAGCAATCGACTCTTGTACAGTCTCCCTCTGTTTTGAATCAATCTATTAACATAAATATATATATTTTGTTCAATACTTAACTTTTATAAGTATTGTACAATAAAATATGTGATGTTCAGATATATAAGAAACGAAGTCAGAGTATAAATCTGTAGACTGGTATTTCCTTGTTATATCACGGCTCATTGACTATAGACTGTTGTCATCATTCACTATCAACTAATGTCCATTCCCAAATAATCACAGCAAAAGAGACTCTTGTGCTTTGTAATAAAGAATACCGTAAGTACAGTATATTACATACGAGGGCAGTTGCAGCCTTGCCATGTATGTGTAATCTAGATTTTGGACTCTCGCCAGTAGTTGCCGGATGAGAAATTCCCTTGTTTGTAAGTTCGCAAACTGTAATGCTATTTTGGTATAGAAATTGTGATGGATCGCTGAAACATAGCTTGTTAAAGTTTTGGTCCAAATTTAGTCTATTTTATATCATATAATAAAATCGTAACTGGTCGATGTCTGCAATCGGTTCGTAAAAAAAAAAAGTTTTATCAATCTAAAGAGTCGCATATGAAATGTTATTAAATAACCTATCGGTCGAATCGGCTGAAAATTCTATGCCGGGACCATATGGTGGAAATGAATATTGCAAGCGATTATAGGACCCCTGGTATTGCAGGCGTTCGTAGGCTGCG